ACGAGAATGAATTGACTAAGGGAAAGTTGGGTACAAATGCAAACCCTAGAAAACTGTACCCCATATGTGCTACCCCACTATAGCCTACAGTAGCTATGTCATATAAATCTGACACTACAAAAAGGGGGCATCGAACATCGCCGACGCACTGACCCGCCCCACTGCCCAGATCCACGCAATACTACTCGCCCAGACCAGCCCACTACTGACAGGCCTATTTACCCACGGGTACCAAACGGATCCATTCTTCACAGGAGGAAATTCGCAGCAGTTCGCAGCAGCAAAGGGAGTCTATTACGTAAAAGCCGGGACCGACCGCATCTGGGTACCAGGGTACACACTGCTACGGGAATTATTGTTACATGAGGCACACGACGGAGTTACCTCAGGGCATTTCGGGGTAGAAAAAACACGGCAGCAGCTACAGCGGTATTATTACTGGCCCGAAATGTTGACCGACGTACAGCGACACGTGGCATCGTGTCCCACTTGCCAGCTCATGAAATCATCACGGAAGCGGCCAGCAGGACAGTTGCAGCCGATACCACCCCCAGAGCGTGCTTGGCAGCAGGTGACGATGGATTTCGTCACGGGGTTACCGGCCGGGGCAAGTGGGAACGACGCGATCCTGGCCGTCGTCGATCGACTGACGAAAATGGCACACTTCGTAGCCTGCAAAAAAATCAATCACAGCCGAAGAAACAACACCCCTCTTCATCGCCACCGTCGTTCGACTGCATGGGATACCAGCAGCAATCATCAGCGACCGAGACACGAAATTCACTAGCAACTTCTAGCGGAACCTGTGGCAGCAGTTCGGCACGCGACTACAGTTCAGTTCTTCGTACCACCCCGAGACTGACGGACAGACAGAGAGGACAAATCAGACCATGGAACAACTCATTCGAGCCACGTGCGACAACCCAACCACCTGGGAACAGCAACTGCCACTCATTGAGTTCGCGTACAATAACTCACCTTCCGCCACGACCCAACAGTCACCGTTTTACCTGAACTACGGACAAGACCCGACAGTACCCATGACCCCGAATCCCGACAACCCGGTGCCACGAGCACAACAGTTCGCCGAAGTTTTACAAGCAGCACGGACCCGGGCAGCAGACGCAATTAAAAAGTCGAACATCATCGCTAAATGCAACGCCGACCGCCGACCTATCACTTACCAGCCCGACGACCTAGTTTTACTGGACACCCAGAAACTCCGCCTGCCCATCACCCCAAAACTTCGCCCCCGATACTGTGGACCATTCCGCATCAGCCACATGATTACACCCGTCACCGCCCACCTCCTCCTCCCCGCTGACTGGTACGTCAGCCCATCTTCCACGTCAGCCTGCTTCGCCCCTACGTACCATCCACAAGCCAACTGCCACGCAATCGCCCCGCCAGCATGACACGACCACCGACAGAGCCAATTATAACGTCCGAGAAGATTCTGAGCCACCGAGTTCGTGACCCACGAGGAGCCCGAAGGATCGAATTCCTAATCCGCTGGAGAGACCGTACACCCACCGAAGATAACTGGGTTCCCCTGGACAGAATCGAAAACCACCCCGTCCTCACAGAGTACCTGCGCAGCCGAAATTTCCGGGATGTACACGCACTTTCGTAAGGAGGGCCTCCCTAGGGGGGGGGGGTAGTGTAAGGAAAATTCCTTTTCCTTACTTCGCGCCCCTGCTCAGCGCGTACAACACTGTAGCACCACAGTCAGCACCGTTACCACTCGCAACCCTCGCATCGACAATCCTCCCGCCACCTTCGCACGTCACACCCCGACTTCACGGCTCGGCGGGTAACCCGCGCTCCGAGCCTCCGCCTCGACATTTTCCCAAACCTCGGTTCCAGGCCCGTCGCGCGTCACCCACAGTTCATTACCGTTACCACTGTAGTTTCGCTATATATTCTGCGCTCATGCCTTCGCTCATTGTCCTCTTGCTTCGATAGTGCATCGCTCGCTCGCTCACTCAATTGCACTCGTAACAAGTACACAGATATGCACATAATGTAAAAAAAGGGCAATCAGGGACGCTCAACATAGAGCTGCAGTGACAGCATTTCAGTGTTCATGGACTTAATCGGAAATAACCTAGGCACCATGCCAAATGGCCCACTACGGTGTGCACCATTTAGACCTGCACTCAAATCCTGAGGCTCAACACCACCACTAGCTGAGCGAATTTCAGCACAGGCATCTCCCGCAGGAGCACCAGAGTCATTCATGCACGTTCTTTGATCAGGCACACGGCCTTCTGAGGGAGAATCAGCTGGGATCCAGAATTGGCCGCTCGAGCTTCTGCCTGAAGGGAGGTTCTTGGAGTGAGCTACCAGCTCCCATGCACATTCTGAAAAGGAAACCGGAAAACACACACAAAAGAGGAACATAATGCAAAAGGAAAAAGCACTTAACAGAAGAAGTGGGAAAAACTCCATGATTTGCATGAATGTTTCTAAAAGACATGTTGCTTATGGTCAAGGCTGCTGCACGGACCAAAGGGATTAAAAGTGTTGACATGCGACTACTTTCCATGCACCCAGTCACCTTGAGGGAGGGGTCGTTGGAGGAACCCTGAAACAGATGCTTTGACGAGAAACGAGCGCAGGCAATATTCAATGGATTCCAAGCTGTCCTGCTGAGTTGCTACGCTGCCGGATGGCGCTGGCTGGGAAATGGAGAAGTCAAACACTATTCTCTCATGGACTTTTCTTCCGTCTGTTGAGAAAACGGCAAGGTCAATTCGTTCGACCACCCCCTGGAAACCACACAGAATAGAGAAAGGAAGAACGGGAAGAGACGAAACAGGATGCAGGAAAGTGAACGAGGAGAGGAGAAGAAGAGAGATAAACATAGGGTTGAAGGGCAGAGGGCAGATGCTGGCAGGAGGAGACTGTAATCAAGTGCTTATACCTTGTCAATGTACGGAGAAAGGTCATTGATGGCGTCTCGGATGTAGCAGCGGAGGCCTGGGTGCCTGCTGGAGTACACAGGCACCGATGCGAAGCGACTTCGATGGAATATCTCTGAAACCAAGATTGTGGAAGTCATAAAATAAAAAACTACATTCTGAATAATAACATATCCAATAACATAACTGCTTGCATCCGGCGTTCCTACAATGGATGTTTGATGTGCTAAGGAGGCTGAATACTAAGACAGATGCACAACGAGGTGCATTACCTGGAGGATATATGGAGCGCAGGTAGAGCAGATGGTTCACTGCGACCTCTAGAAAATCACAGAGGATCTTCGTGACTTCTGCATGTGATTAGAAAGAAAAAAAGAAAGACAAAAAAAGGTCCGTGATATAAATAGTGTGTCCTAACCGGAGTCTCGCCAGGTAATGAGATTCGCAGTGATCTTCGCGACGACCACGGCAATGAGGCCGGTGTAACTCACACTGACCAGGTCTCAAAAAGCTTCCTGTTGTCTTCGGATGCTTATTTGGTCCCTGAAGGCAGAATCAAACAAGAACGTGTAAATTGACGTGTTGGTGCTACAAACGGAAGAATGGGAAAAGGTCTCTCGGCCATCTCATGCGCACCTCTCTAACAGGCAACTCGGATAATCCTTGCCCAGCTCCATCAATCTCCCGCTTCATCCCTTAAAAAAATATCTTTCTACAGCAGCTGCTGCTGAAACGACAGCAATGGTGATCACAATATTCTGGTGTTGTGCTGAGTGACTGACAATTTCGTAAGTCGCGCAGAAGGAATGACTGGATCGTTCAAAATGATTCTGCGACATCTAAAATGGACTATCAAAGACAGACCAAGTCGGTAACGCGAAAGCGAGCAAGGCCAAACTGTGCTCGAGAATCTCCAGTATAGCGTAACTCTGAAGGCAATGACAAATGTCTGACCTTGCAAAAGCAGAGCCCAAGTGAGATATGTATGGACGACTGCGAGGAAGAGCCTGGATAGTATCGAGGTACTTCATACTGTACTCCTCACGTTTCCACGTTACGAGAATTCAAGCTTGGAGCGTCTTCGCGAGATTTCGCAAATTTGAAATCACGAACTTTCGCCTAACCGCCCTCGCCTATTCACAAACGATGATTTCGGTAAGAAAGTAATTCTCAAATTACAGTGTAGTATGGACATGGAAAGTTACATATGGTAAATGAACCGAGTAGTTTGCTATGACCTACAATAAGAGTAACTCTAAGAGCAGCTTCTAATAACCAGTGTTCTCGCTATATCAGCTGTGATACAGTGCTACTGGTTAACAAATACTGTATTTCCTGGTCGAGGCACAGATCGTCTGCTTGCGACGTCAATCGTCTTAGCTGCTTTCATAACATCACTTCGGACAAGGCTGCTTCCAGCCTCACCAATTGAGACTGCTTGCATCAGTGCTGTCCGTTGTTTGGTCTGCAGGTGTGGTGTCGGCAGCAGCAGCAGCAGCAGCAGCAGCAGTAGCTTCATTAACAGCACCAGGAGAAGCAGCAGCTGTGGCAGCAGCACCAGCAGCAGCACCCGGAGCAGCAGCAGTGGCAGCAACCGGACCAGCAACTGCAGTGGACCCAACAGCAGAGCTACTTCGGAACCTGCCAGAGCTATACCTTCCCGAGAACGTGCTCACCCTGCCCCCTCCATATCCAATACTCCCTTCATTAACTCCACTGGCACCCCCACTCCCACTCCCACCACTCGTTCCACTGGTTCTACTGCCAGACATAAGCAGGTCTGAATTGGCCTGAGCCTGCCCCAGCAGCAGCTGCTGCAGCTGTGCTTGCTGCCTCTGCTGCTGCGGATCTCCTAGCCCTGCTCCATACCCGGCAGGCGGAGCTGCAAAAGCAGCAGCAGGAGCAGCGGCAGGGCCACCGGAACCAGCTCCTCCTGCTGCTGCTCGTGCTGCTGCAGAGCTCAACGCGCCAGCAGCAGCGTTAGCCGCCACGGCAGCAGCAGCATTGGCAGCCGCAGCAGCGGCGGCAGCGGCATTAGCAGCGTTGCTCACTTCTAGTGCCAGCACATGCTCTAACTCAACCACCACCTCGGTGATCGGAGGGCGGTTCAGTGACTTGGGCTCGACACACACCATGCCGACTTCTGCCACCCGCCACATGGCTTCTTCGTCCCACTCGTGGGGGAGTAGAGTGGGGTCTGCTACTGCCCGAATGTTGCCCTGTTGCAAATGGTCTCGCGCCTGGGATAGAGGGGAGGGGGGGGAGGAGGGGGGAGAGAGCAGGCAGGGAGAATGAGCGTGGGTGAGGGGGAGGGGCAGTGAGGAGCGTGGGGTCTGCTACTGCCGGAATGTCGCCCTGCTGCAAGTGGTCTCGCGCCTGGGATAGGGAGAGGGGGGGAGCGAGAAAGGACAGGGAGGGCAGGGGAAACGGGGAGGGAACGGGAAATGGAGGGGGGGAGGAGGGAGGGAGGGAGGGCGGTTGAGGCTCTTGGGCTCGACACACACCATGCCGACTTCTGCCACCCGCCACATGGCCTCTTCGTCCCACTCGTTTGGGAGGAGGGTGGGGTCTGCCACTGCCCGTATGTTGCCCTGCTGCAAGTGGTCTCGCGCCTGGGATAGTGGGGGGCGAAAGAGAGAGCAGGCAATGAGAAACCACGTCAATGAGAAGCAGAGACAGGAGGAGCAGCGGCGAGCGGAGCGCGAAAAAGAGCAGGAGAAGCAGAGGGCCGAAACAGAACGGCAGAGACAGGAGGAGCAGCAGCGAGCGGAGCGCGAAAAAGAGCAGGAGAAGCAGAGGGCCAAAACAGAACGGCACTGACAGGAGGAGCGGGGGCGAGCGGAGCGCGAACAGGAGAAGGAAGCAGAGGGACGAAACAGAAGGGCGGAGAAAAGAGGAGCGTGCGGAGCGCGAAAAGGAGCAGGAGAAGCAGAGAGCTGAAAGGGAACGGCTGAGACAGGAGGAGGAGGAAGCTGAGCGCGAAAAGGAGTAAGGTGGGCAGAGAGCCGATAGCAAAAGGCAAAGGTAGGAGGAGGAGAAGCGAGCAGAACACAAAAAGGAGCAGAAGAAGCTGAGGGTAGAAAGCAAACGGAAGAGGCAGGAGGAGCAGCAACAAGTGGATCGCGAAAAGGAGCAGGAGAGGCAGAGGGCAAAAACGGAACGACTGAGGCAGGAGGAGGAGAACCAAGCCGCCCTCTGCTTCTTCTGCCTCTTTCGTTCGCTTTCTGCCCTCTGCTTCTCCTGCTCCTTTTGGCACTCCGCTCGCTTCTCGTCCTCCTGCCTCTGCCTTTCGCTTTTGGCCCTTTGCCTCGCCTGCACTTTTTCGAGCTCCGTTCGCTTCTCCTCTTGCCTATGCCTTGCGCTTTCGACCAGCTGCCTCGATAGCAACGACTAAGCACCAGGGAAAAAATCACCCAGTAATTCTACATCACGTGGCCCATCAGTAATACATACCCAATCAATGATGCTCCAGTGCTGCTGCGGGCGATTCAGGTCGATGGGCTGCTGGCCTGAGATCAGCTCCAGCAGCACCACCCCGAAGCTGAACACGTCGCTGCGATCCGTCAGCTGCTGGATGGTGAAGTACCTGCGGGAGAGAAGAGGGGGAGGGAGAGGAGGGAGAAGGCAGGCCACATTCGGTTGCACAGAACAAAGGGCACACAGCTCTGGCACTTCCTTATCAGCATCAGCATCAGCATCAGCCCCATTAGCACCACCCCGAAGCTGAACACGTCGCTGCGATCCGTCAGCTGCTGAATGGTGAAGTACCTGCGGGAGAGAGTGGGGAGAGAGAGGGTGGGAGAGTGGGAGAGTGATGAGTGAGGGGGAGGCGTATGCAGTGCAGTGCAGCAGCACAGGAAGGGCCATACTTAAATAAGCACCACTTACTCTGGGTCCAGGTATCCCGCCGTGCCCTTAACAACGGTAGACACATGGCTCCTGTTGTCCTGTGGGCCCACCCGGGACAGTCCGAAATCTGCCACCCGCGCGTTCAGCCGGCCGTCCAGCAGGATGTTGCTCGTCTTGATGTCGCGGTGGATGATGGGTGGCTGGAGACACGTGTGTAGATACTGGATGGCTGTGTGGGCAGCGTGTGTGGGGGGGTGGGGAGGGCGGGGGGTGGAGGGGAAGATGTTTGGACGAGGAGAGGAGAGGAGTTTAAGCATGCACGTTCAGGCGCCCGTCTTGAGACGTCTCAAAACTAGCATGCACGTTCAGGCGCCCGTCTTGAGACGTCTCAAAACTAGCATGCACGTTCAGGCGCCCGTCTTGAGACGTCTCAAAACTAGCATGCACGTTCAGGCGCCCGTCTTGAGACGTCTCAAAACTAGCATGCACGTTCAGGCGCCCGTCTTGAGACGTCTCAAAACTAGCATGCACGTTCAGGCGCCCGTCTTGAGACGTCTCAAAACTAGCATGCACGTTCAGGCGCCCGTCTTGAGACGTCTCAAAACTAGCATGCACGTTCAGGCGCCCGTCTTGAGACGTCTCAAAACTAGCATGCACGTTCAGGCGCCCGTCTTGAGACGTCTCAAAACTAGCATGCACGTTCAGGCGCCCGTCTTGAGACGTCTCAAAACTAGCATGCACGTTCAGGCGCCCGTCTTGAGACGTCTCAAAACTAGCATGCACGTTCAGGCGCCCGTCTTGAGACGTCTCAAAACTAGCATGCACGTTCAGGCGCCCGTCTTGAGACGTCTCAAAACTAGCATGCACGTTCAGGCGCCCGTCTTGAGACGTCTCAAAACTAGCATGCACGTTCAGGCGCCCGTCTTGAGACGTCTCAAAACTAGCATGCACGTTCAGGCGCCCGTCTTGAGACGTCTCAAAACTAGCATGCACGTTCAGGCGCCCGTCTTGAGACGTCTCAAAACTAGCATGCACGTTCAGGCGCCCGTCTTGAGACGTCTCAAAACTAGCATGCACGTTCAGGCGCCCGTCTTGAGACGTCTCAAAACTAGCATGCACGTTCAGGCGCCCGTCTTGAGACGTCTCAAAACTAGCATGCACGTTCAGGCGCCCGTCTTGAGACGTCTCAAAACTAGCATGCACGTTCAGGCGCCCGTCTTGAGACGTCTCAAAACTAGCATGCACGTTCAGGCGCCCGTCTTGAGACGTCTCAAAACTAGCATGCACGTTCAGGCGCCCGTCTTGAGACGTCTCAAAACTAGCATGCACGTTCAGGCGCCCGTCTTGAGACGTCTCAAAACTAGCATGCACGTTCAGGCGCCCGTCTTGAGACGTCTCAAAACTAGCATGCACGTTCAGGCGCCCGTCTTGAGACGTCTCAAAACTAGCATGCACGTTCAGGCGCCCGTCTTGAGACGTCTCAAAACTAGCATGCACGTTCAGGCGCCCGTCTTGAGACGTCTCAAAACTAGCATGCACGTTCAGGCGCCCGTCTTGAGACGTCTCAAAACTAGCATGCACGTTCAGGCGCCCGTCTTGAGACGTCTCAAAACTAGCATGCACGTTCAGGCGCCCGTCTTGAGACGTCTCAAAACTAGCATGCACGTTCAGGCGCCCGTCTTGAGACGTCTCAAAACTAGCATGCACGTTCAGGCGCCCGTCTTGAGACGTCTCAAAACTAGCATGCACGTTCAGGCGCCCGTCTTGAGACGTCTCAAAACTAGCATGCACGTTCAGGCGCCCGTCTTGAGACGTCTCAAAACTAGCATGCACGTTCAGGCGCCCGTCTTGAGACGTCTCAAAACTAGCATGCACGTTCAGGCGCCCGTCTTGAGACGTCTCAAAACTAGCATGCACGTTCAGGCGCCCGTCTTGAGACGTCTCAAAACTAGCATGCACGTTCAGGCGCCCGTCTTGAGACGTCTCAAAACTAGCATGCACGTTCAGGCGCCCGTCTTGAGACGTCTCAAAACTAGCATGCACGTTCAGGCGCCCGTCTTGAGACGTCTCAAAACTAGCATGCACGTTCAGGCGCCCGTCTTGAGACGTCTCAAAACTAGCATGCACGTTCAGGCGCCCGTCTTGAGACGTCTCAAAACTAGCATGCACGTTCAGGCGCCCGTCTTGAGACGTCTCAAAACTAGCATGCACGTTCAGGCGCCCGTCTTGAGACGTCTCAAAACTAGCATGCACGTTCAGGCGCCCGTCTTGAGACGTCTCAAAACTAGCATGCACGTTCAGGCGCCCGTCTTGAGACGTCTCAAAACTAGCATGCACGTTCAGGCGCCCGTCTTGAGACGTCTCAAAACTAGCATGCACGTTCAGGCGCCCGTCTTGAGACGTCTCAAAACTAGCATGCACGTTCAGGCGCCCGTCTTGAGACGTCTCAAAACTAGCATGCACGTTCAGGCGCCCGTCTTGAGACGTCTCAAAACTAGCATGCACGTTCAGGCGCCCGTCTTGAGACGTCTCAAAACTAGCATGCACGTTCAGGCGCCCGTCTTGAGACGTCTCAAAACTAGCATGCACGTTCAGGCGCCCGTCTTGAGACGTCTCAAAACTAGCATGCACGTTCAGGCGCCCGTCTTGAGACGTCTCAAAACTAGCATGCACGTTCAGGCGCCCGTCTTGAGACGTCTCAAAACTAGCATGCACGTTCAGGCGCCCGTCTTGAGACGTCTCAAAACTAGCATGCACGTTCAGGCGCCCGTCTTGAGACGTCTCAAAACTAGCATGCACGTTCAGGCGCCCGTCTTGAGACGTCTCAAAACTAGCATGCACGTTCAGGCGCCCGTCTTGAGACGTCTCAAAACTAGCATGCACGTTCAGGCGCCCGTCTTGAGACGTCTCAAAACTAGCATGCACGTTCAGGCGCCCGTCTTGAGACGTCTCAAAACTAGCATGCACGTTCAGGCGCCCGTCTTGAGACGTCTCAAAACTAGCATGCACGTTCAGGCGCCCGTCTTGAGACGTCTCAAAACTAGCATGCACGTTCAGGCGCCCGTCTTGAGACGTCTCAAAACTAGCATGCACGTTCAGGCGCCCGTCTTGAGACGTCTCAAAACTAGCATGCACGTTCAGGCGCCCGTCTTGAGACGTCTCAAAACTAGCATGCACGTTCAGGCGCCCGTCTTGAGACGTCTCAAAACTAGCATGCACGTTCAGGCGCCCGTCTTGAGACGTCTCAAAACTAGCATGCACGTTCAGGCGCCCGTCTTGAGACGTCTCAAAACTAGCATGCACGTTCAGGCGCCCGTCTTGAGACGTCTCAAAACTAGCATGCACGTTCAGGCGCCCGTCTTGAGACGTCTCAAAACTAGCATGCACGTTCAGGCGCCCGTCTTGAGACGTCTCAAAACTAGCATGCACGTTCAGGCGCCCGTCTTGAGACGTCTCAAAACTAGCATGCACGTTCAGGCGCCCGTCTTGAGACGTCTCAAAACTAGCATGCACGTTCAGGCGCCCGTCTTGAGACGTCTCAAAACTAGCATGCACGTTCAGGCGCCCGTCTTGAGACGTCTCAAAACTAGCATGCACGTTCAGGCGCCCGTCTTGAGACGTCTCAAAACTAGCATGCACGTTCAGGCGCCCGTCTTGAGACGTCTCAAAACTAGCATGCACGTTCAGGCGCCCGTCTTGAGACGTCTCAAAACTAGCATGCACGTTCAGGCGCCCGTCTTGAGACGTCTCAAAACTAGCATGCACGTTCAGGCGCCCGTCTTGAGACGTCTCAAAACTAGCATGCACGTTCAGGCGCCCGTCTTGAGACGTCTCAAAACTAGCATGCACGTTCAGGCGCCCGTCTTGAGACGTCTCAAAACTAGCATGCACGTTCAGGCGCCCGTCTTGAGACGTCTCAAAACTAGCATGCACGTTCAGGCGCCCGTCTTGAGACGTCTCAAAACTAGCATGCACGTTCAGGCGCCCGTCTTGAGACGTCTCAAAACTAGCATGCACGTTCAGGCGCCCGTCTTGAGACGTCTCAAAACTAGCATGCACGTTCAGGCGCCCGTCTTGAGACGTCTCAAAACTAGCATGCACGTTCAGGCGCCCGTCTTGAGACGTCTCAAAACTAGCATGCACGTTCAGGCGCCCGTCTTGAGACGTCTCAAAACTAGCATGCACGTTCAGGCGCCCGTCTTGAGACGTCTCAAAACTAGCATGCACGTTCAGGCGCCCGTCTTGAGACGTCTCAAAACTAGCATGCACGTTCAGGCGCCCGTCTTGAGACGTCTCAAAACTAGCATGCACGTTCAGGCGCCCGTCTTGAGACGTCTCAAAACTAGCATGCACGTTCAGGCGCCCGTCTTGAGACGTCTCAAAACTAGCATGCACGTTCAGGCGCCCGTCTTGAGACGTCTCAAAACTAGCATGCACGTTCAGGCGCCCGTCTTGAGACGTCTCAAAACTAGCATGCACGTTCAGGCGCCCGTCTTGAGACGTCTCAAAACTAGCATGCACGTTCAGGCGCCCGTCTTGAGACGTCTCAAAACTAGCATGCACGTTCAGGCGCCCGTCTTGAGACGTCTCAAAACTAGCATGCACGTTCAGGCGCCCGTCTTGAGACGTCTCAAAACTAGCATGCACGTTCAGGCGCCCGTCTTGAGACGTCTCAAAACTAGCATGCACGTTCAGGCGCCCGTCTTGAGACGTCTCAAAACTAGCATGCACGTTCAGGCGCCCGTCTTGAGACGTCTCAAAACTAGCATGCACGTTCAGGCGCCCGTCTTGAGACGTCTCAAAACTAGCATGCACGTTCAGGCGCCCGTCTTGAGACGTCTCAAAACTAGCATGCACGTTCAGGCGCCCGTCTTGAGACGTCTCAAAACTAGCATGCACGTTCAGGCGCCCGTCTTGAGACGTCTCAAAACTAGCATGCACGTTCAGGCGCCCGTCTTGAGACGTCTCAAAACTAGCATGCACGTTCAGGCGCCCGTCTTGAGACGTCTCAAAACTAGCATGCACGTTCAGGCGCCCGTCTTGAGACGTCTCAAAACTAGCATGCACGTTCAGGCGCCCGTCTTGAGACGTCTCAAAACTAGCATGCACGTTCAGGCGCCCGTCTTGAGACGTCTCAAAACTAGCATGCACGTTCAGGCGCCCGTCTTGAGACGTCTCAAAACTAGCATGCACGTTCAGGCGCCCGTCTTGAGACGTCTCAAAACTAGCATGCACGTTCAGGCGCCCGTCTTGAGACGTCTCAAAACTAGCATGCACGTTCAGGCGCCCGTCTTGAGACGTCTCAAAACTAGCATGCACGTTCAGGCGCCCGTCTTGAGACGTCTCAAAACTAGCATGCACGTTCAGGCGCCCGTCTTGAGACGTCTCAAAACTAGCATGCACGTTCAGGCGCCCGTCTTGAGACGTCTCAAAACTAGCATGCACGTTCAGGCGCCCGTCTTGAGACGTCTCAAAACTAGCATGCACGTTCAGGCGCCCGTCTTGAGACGTCTCAAAACTAGCATGCACGTTCAGGCGCCCGTCTTGAGACGTCTCAAAACTAGCATGCACGTTCAGGCGCCCGTCTTGAGACGTCTCAAAACTAGCATGCACGTTCAGGCGCCCGTCTTGAGACGTCTCAAAACTAGCATGCACGTTCAGGCGCCCGTCTTGAGACGTCTCAAAACTAGCATGCACGTTCAGGCGCCCGTCTTGAGACGTCTCAAAACTAGCATGCACGTTCAGGCGCCCGTCTTGAGACGTCTCAAAACTAGCATGCACGTTCAGGCGCCCGTCTTGAGACGTCTCAAAACTAGCATGCACGTTCAGGCGCCCGTCTTGAGACGTCTCAAAACTAGCATGCACGTTCAGGCGCCCGTCTTGAGACGTCTCAAAACTAGCATGCACGTTCAGGCGCCCGTCTTGAGACGTCTCAAAACTAGCATGCACGTTCAGGCGCCCGTCTTGAGACGTCTCAAAACTAGCATGCACGTTCAGGCGCCCGTCTTGAGACGTCTCAAAACTAGCATGCACGTTCAGGCGCCCGTCTTGAGACGTCTCAAAACTAGCATGCACGTTCAGGCGCCCGTCTTGAGACGTCTCAAAACTAGCATGCACGTTCAGGCGCCCGTCTTGAGACGTCTCAAAACTAGCATGCACGTTCAGGCGCCCGTCTTGAGACGTCTCAAAACTAGCATGCACGTTCAGGCGCCCGTCTTGAGACGTCTCAAAACTAGCATGCACGTTCAGGCGCCCGTCTTGAGACGTCTCAAAACTAGCATGCACGTTCAGGCGCCCGTCTTGAGACGTCTCAAAACTAGCATGCACGTTCAGGCGCCCGTCTTGAGACGTCTCAAAACTAGCATGCACGTTCAGGCGCCCGTCTTGAGACGTCTCAAAACTAGCATGCACGTTCAGGCGCCCGTCTTGAGACGTCTCAAAACTAGCATGCACGTTCAGGCGCCCGTCTTGAGACGTCTCAAAACTAGCATGCACGTTCAGGCGCCCGTCTTGAGACGTCTCAAAACTAGCATGCACGTTCAGGCGCCCGTCTTGAGACGTCTCAAAACTAGCATGCACGTTCAGGCGCCCGTCTTGAGACGTCTCAAAACTAGCATGCACGTTCAGGCGCCCGTCTTGAGACGTCTCAAAACTAGCATGCACGTTCAGGCGCCCGTCTTGAGACGTCTCAAAACTAGCATGCACGTTCAGGCGCCCGTCTTGAGACGTCTCAAAACTAGCATGCACGTTCAGGCGCCCGTCTTGAGACGTCTCAAAACTAGCATGCACGTTCAGGCGCCCGTCTTGAGACGTCTCAAAACTAGCATGCACGTTCAGGCGCCCGTCTTGAGACGTCTCAAAACTAGCATGCACGTTCAGGCGCCCGTCTTGAGACGTCTCAAAACTAGCATGCACGTTCAGGCGCCCGTCTTGAGACGTCTCAAAACTAGCATGCACGTTCAGGCGCCCGTCTTGAGACGTCTCAAAACTAGCATGCACGTTCAGGCGCCCGTCTTGAGACGTCTCAAAACTAGCATGCACGTTCAGGCGCCCGTCTTGAGACGTCTCAAAACTAGCATGCACGTTCAGGCGCCCGTCTTGAGACGTCTCAAAACTAGCATGCACGTTCAGGCGCCCGTCTTGAGACGTCTCAAAACTAGCATGCACGTTCAGGCGCCCGTCTTGAGACGTCTCAAAACTAGCATGCACGTTCAGGCGCCCGTCTTGAGACGTCTCAAAACTAGCATGCACGTTCAGGCGCCCGTCTTGAGACGTCTCAAAACTAGCATGCACGTTCAGGCGCCCGTCTTGAGACGTCTCAAAACTAGCATGCACGTTCAGGCGCCCGTCTTGAGACGTCTCAAAACTAGCATGCACGTTCAGGCGCCCGTCTTGAGACGTCTCAAAACTAGCATGCACGTTCAGGCGCCCGTCTTGAGACGTCTCAAAACTAGCATGCACGTTCAGGCGCCCGTCTTGAGACGTCTCAAAACTAGCATGCACGTTCAGGCGCCCGTCTTGAGACGTCTCAAAACTAGCATGCACGTTCAGGCGCCCGTCTTGAGACGTCTCAAAACTAGCATGCACGTTCAGGCGCCCGTCTTGAGACGTCTCAAAACTAGCATGCACGTTCAGGCGCCCGTCTTGAGACGTCTCAAAACTAGCATGCACGTTCAGGCGCCCGTCTTGAGACGTCTCAAAACTAGCATGCACGTTCAGGCGCCCGTCTTGAGACGTCTCAAAACTAGCATGCACGTTCAGGCGCCCGTCTTGAGACGTCTCAAAACTAGCATGCACGTTCAGGCGCCCGTCTTGAGACGTCTCAAAACTAGCATGCACGTTCAGGCGCCCGTCTTGAGACGTCTCAAAACTAGCATGCACGTTCAGGCGCCCGTCTTGAGACGTCTCAAAACTAGCATGCACGTTCAGGCGCCCGTCTTGAGACGTCTCAAAACTAGCATGCACGTTCAGGCGCCCGTCTTGAGACGTCTCAAAACTAGCATGCACGTTCAGGCGCCCGTCTTGAGACGTCTCAAAACTAGCATGCACGTTCAGGCGCCCGTCTTGAGACGTCTCAAAACTAGCATGCACGTTCAGGCGCCCGTCTTGAGACGTCTCAAAACTAGCATGCACGTTCAGGCGCCCGTCTTGAGACGTCTCAAAACTAGCATGCACGTTCAGGCGCCCGTCTTGAGACGTCTCAAAACTAGCATGCACGTTCAGGCGCCCGTCTTGAGACGTCTCAAAACTAGCATGCACGTTCAGGCGCCCGTCTTGAGACGTCTCAAAACTAGCATGCACGTTCAGGCGCCCGTCTTGAGACGTCTCAAAACTAGCATGCACGTTCAGGCGCCCGTCTTGAGACGTCTCAAAACTAGCATGCACGTTCAGGCGCCCGTCTTGAGACGTCTCAAAACTAGCATGCACGTTCAGGCGCCCGTCTTGAGACGTCTCAAAACTAGCATGCACGTTCAGGCGCCCGTCTTGAGACGTCTCAAAACTAGCATGCACGTTCAGGCGCCCGTCTTGAGACGTCTCAAAACTAGCATGCACGTTCAGGCGCCCGTCTTGAGACGTCTCAAAACTAGCATGCACGTTCAGGCGCCCGTCTTGAGACGTCTCAAAACTAGCATGCACGTTCAGGCGCCCGTCTTGAGACGTCTCAAAACTAGCATGCACGTTCAGGCGCCCGTCTTGAGACGTCTCAAAACTAGCATGCACGTTCAGGCGCCCGTCTTGAGACGTCTCAAAACTAGCATGCACGTTCAGGCGCCCGTCTTGAGACGTCTCAAAACTAGCATGCACGTTCAGGCGCCCGTCTTGAGACGTCTCAAAACTAGCATGCACGTTCAGGCGCCCGTCTTGAGACGTCTCAAAACTAGCATGCACGTTCAGGCGCCCGTCTTGAGACGTCTCAAAACTAGCATGCACGTTCAGGCGCCCGTCTTGAGACGTCTCAAAACTAGCATGCACGTTCAGGCGCCCGTCTTGAGACGTCTCAAAACTAGCATGCACGTTCAGGCGCCCGTCTTGAGACGTCTCAAAACTAGCATGCACGTTCAGGCGCCCGTCTTGAGACGTCTCAAAACTAGCATGCACGTTCAGGCGCCCGTCTTGAGACGTCTCAAAACTAGCATGCACGTTCAGGCGCCCGTCTTGAGACGTCTCAAAACTAGCATGCACGTTCAGGCGCCCGTCTTGAGACGTCTCAAAACTAGCATGCACGTTCAGGCGCCCGTCTTGAGACGTCTCAAAACTAGCATGCACGTTCAGGCGCCCGTCTTGAGACGTCTCAAAACTAGCATGCACGTTCAGGCGCCCGTCTTGAGACGTCTCAAAACTAGCATGCACGTTCAGGCGCCCGTCTTGAGACGTCTCAAAACTAGCATGCACGTTCAGGCGCCCGTCTTGAGACGTCTCAAAACTAGCATGCACGTTCAGGCGCCCGTCTTGAGACGTCTCAAAACTAGCATGCACGTTCAGGCGCCCGTCTTGAGACGTCTCAAAACTAGCATGCACGTTCAGGCGCCCGTCTTGAGACGTCTCAAAACTAGCATGCACGTTCAGGCGCCCGTCTTGAGACGTCTCAAAACTAGCATGCACGTTCAGGCGCCCGTCTTGAGACGTCTCAAAACTAGCATGCACGTTCAGGCGCCCGTCTTGAGACGTCTCAAAACTAGCATGCACGTTCAGGCGCCCGTCTTGAGACGTCTCAAAACTAGCATGCACGTTCAGGCGCCCGTCTTGAGACGTCTCAAAACTAGCATGCACGTTCAGGCGCCCGTCTTGAGACGTCTCAAAACTAGCATGCACGTTCAGGCGCCCGTCTTGAGACGTCTCAAAACTAGCATGCACGTTCAGGCGCCCGTCTTGAGACGTCTCAAAACTAGCATGCACGTTCAGGCGCCCGTCTTGAGACGTCTCAAAACTAGCATGCACGTTCAGGCGCCCGTCTTGAGACGTCTCAAAACTAGCATGCACGTTCAGGCGCCCGTCTTGAGACGTCTCAAAACTAGCATGCACGTTCAGGCGCCCGTCTTGAGACGTCTCAAAACTAGCATGCACGTTCAGGCGCCCGTCTTGAGACGTCTCAAAACTAGCATGCACGTTCAGGCGCCCGTCTTGAGACGTCTCAAAACTAGCATGCACGTTCAGGCGCCCGTCTTGAGACGTCTCAAAACTAGCATGCACGTTCAGGCGCCCGTCTTGAGACGTCTCAAAACTAGCATGCACGTTCAGGCGCCCGTCTTGAGACGTCTCAAAACTAGCATGCACGTTCAGGCGCCCGTCTTGAGACGTCTCAAAACTAGCATGCACGTTCAGGCGCCCGTCTTGAGACGTCTCAAAACTAGCATGCACGTTCAGGCGCCCGTCTTGAGACGTCTCAAAACTAGCATGCACGTTCAGGCGCCCGTCTTGAGACGTCTCAAAACTAGCATGCACGTTCAGGCGCCCGTCTTGAGACGTCTCAAAACTAGCATGCACGTTCAGGCGCCCGTCTTGAGACGTCTCAAAACTAGCATGCACGTTCAGGCGCCCGTCTTGAGACGTCTCAAAACTAGCATGCACGTTCAGGCGCCCGTCTTGAGACGTCTCAAAACTAGCATGCACGTTCAGGCGCCCGTCTTGAGACGTCTCAAAACTAGCATGCACGTTCAGGCGCCCGTCTTGAGACGTCTCAAAACTAGCATGCACGTTCAGGCGCCCGTCTTGAGACGTCTCAAAACTAGCATGCACGTTCAGGCGCCCGTCTTGAGACGTCTCAAAACTAGCATGCACGTTCAGGCGCCCGTCTTGAGACGTCTCAAAACTAGCATGCACGTTCAGGCGCCCGTCTTGAGACGTCTCAAAACTAGCATGCACGTTCAGGCGCCCGTCTTGAGACGTCTCAAAACTAGCATGCACGTTCAGGCGCCCGTCTTGAGACGTCTCAAAACTAGCATGCACGTTCAGGCGCCCGTCTTGAGACGTCTCAAAACTAGCATGCACGTTCAGGCGCCCGTCTTGAGACGTCTCAAAACTAGCATGCACGTTCAGGCGCCCGTCTTGAGACGTCTCAAAACTAGCATGCACGTTCAGGCGCCCGTCTTGAGACGTCTCAAAACTAGCATGCACGTTCAGGCGCCCGTCTTGAGACGTCTCAAAACTAGCATGCACGTTCAGGCGCCCGTCTTGAGACGTCTCAAAACTAGCATGCACGTTCAGGCGCCCGTCTTGAGACGTCTCAAAACTAGCATGCACGTTCAGGCGCCCGTCTTGAGACGTCTCAAAACTAGCATGCACGTTCAGGCGCCCGTCTTGAGACGTCTCAAAACTAGCATGCACGTTCAGGCGCCCGTCTTGAGACGTCTCAAAACTAGCATGCACGTTCAGGCGCCCGTCTTGAGACGTCTCAAAACTAGCATGCACGTTCAGGCGCCCGTCTTGAGACGTCTCAAAACTAGCATGCACGTTCAGGCGCCCGTCTTGAGACGTCTCAAAACTAGCATGCACGTTCAGGCGCCCGTCTTGAGACGTCTCAAAACTAGCATGCACGTTCAGGCGCCCGTCTTGAGACGTCTCAAAACTAGCATGCACGTTCAGGCGCCCGTCTTGAGACGTCTCAAAACTAGCATGCACGTTCAGGCGCCCGTCTTGAGACGTCTCAAAACTAGCATGCACGTTCAGGCGCCCGTCTTGAGACGTCTCAAAACTAGCATGCACGTTCAGGCGCCCGTCTTGAGACGTCTCAAAACTAGCATGCACGTTCAGGCGCCCGTCTTGAGACGTCTCAAAACTAGCATGCACGTTCAGGCGCCCGTCTTGAGACGTCTCAAAACTAGCATGCACGTTCAGGCGCCCGTCTTGAGACGTCTCAAAACTAGCATGCACGTTCAGGCGCCCGTCTTGAGACGTCTCAAAACTAGCATGCACGTTCAGGCGCCCGTCTTGAGACGTCTCAAAACTAGCATGCACGTTCAGGCGCCCGTCTTGAGACGTCTCAAAACTAGCATGCACGTTCAGGCGCCCGTCTTGAGACGTCTCAAAACTAGCATGCACGTTCAGGCGCCCGTCTTGAGACGTCTCAAAACTAGCATGCACGTTCAGGCGCCCGTCTTGAGACGTCTCAAAACTAGCATGCACGTTCAGGCGCCCGTCTTGAGACGTCTCAAAACTAGCATGCACGTTCAGGCGCCCGTCTTGAGACGTCTCAAAACTAGCATGCACGTTCAGGCGCCCGTCTTGAGACGTCTCAAAACTAGCATGCACGTTCAGGCGCCCGTCTTGAGACGTCTCAAAACTAGCATGCACGTTCAGGCGCCCGTCTTGAGACGTCTCAAAACTAGCATGCACGTTCAGGCGCCCGTCTTGAGACGTCTCAAAACTAGCATGCACGTTCAGGCGCCCGTCTTGAGACGTCTCAAAACTAGCATGCACGTTCAGGCGCCCGTCTTGAGACGTCTCAAAACTAGCATGCACGTTCAGGCGCCCGTCTTGAGACGTCTCAAAACTAGCATGCACGTTCAGGCGCCCGTCTTGAGACGTCTCAAAACTAGCATGCACGTTCAGGCGCCCGTCTTGAGACGTCTCAAAACTAGCATGCACGTTCAGGCGCCCGTCTTGAGACGTCTCAAAACTAGCATGCACGTTCAGGCGCCCGTCTTGAGACGTCTCAAAACTAGCATGCACGTTCAGGCGCCCGTCTTGAGACGTCTCAAAACTAGCATGCACGTTCAGGCGCCCGTCTTGAGACGTCTCAAAACTAGCATGCACGTTCAGGCGCCCGTCTTGAGACGTCTCAAAACTAGCATGCACGTTCAGGCGCCCGTCTTGAGACGTCTCAAAACTAGCATGCACGTTCAGGCGCCCGTCTTGAGACGTCTCAAAACTAGCATGCACGTTCAGGCGCCCGTCTTGAGACGTCTCAAAACTAGCATGCACGTTCAGGCGCCCGTCTTGAGACGTCTCAAAACTAGCATGCACGTTCAGGCGCCCGTCTTGAGACGTCTCAAAACTAGCATGCACGTTCAGGCGCCCGTCTTGAGACGTCTCAAAACTAGCATGCACGTTCAGGCGCCCGTCTTGAGACGTCTCAAAACTAGCATGCACGTTCAGGCGCCCGTCTTGAGACGTCTCAAAACTAGCATGCACGTTCAGGCGCCCGTCTTGAGACGTCTCAAAACTAGCATGCACGTTCAGGCGCCCGTCTTGAGACGTCTCAAAACTAGCATGCACGTTCAGGCGCCCGTCTTGAGACGTCTCAAAACTAGCATGCACGTTCAGGCGCCCGTCTTGAGACGTCTCAAAACTAGCATGCACGTTCAGGCGCCCGTCTTGAGACGTCTCAAAACTAGCATGCACGTTCAGGCGCCCGTCTTGAGACGTCTCAAAACTAGCATGCACGTTCAGGCGCCCGTCTTGAGACGTCTCAAAACTAGCATGCACGTTCAGGCGCCCGTCTTGAGACGTCTCAAAACTAGCATGCACGTTCAGGCGCCCGTCTTGAGACGTCTCAAAACTAGCATGCACGTTCAGGCGCCCGTCTTGAGACGTCTCAAAACTAGCATGCACGTTCAGGCGCCCGTCTTGAGACGTCTCAAAACTAGCATGCACGTTCAGGCGCCCGTCTTGAGACGTCTCAAAACTAGCATGCACGTTCAGGCGCCCGTCTTGAGACGTCTCAAAACTAGCATGCACGTTCAGGCGCCCGTCTTGAGACGTCTCAAAACTAGCATGCACGTTCAGGCGCCCGTCTTGAGACGTCTCAAAACTAGCATGCACGTTCAGGCGCCCGTCTTGAGACGTCTCAAAACTAGCATGCACGTTCAGGCGCCCGTCTTGAGACGTCTCAAAACTAGCATGCACGTTCAGGCGCCCGTCTTGAGACGTCTCAAAACTAGCATGCACGTTCAGGCGCCCGTCTTGAGACGTCTCAAAACTAGCATGCACGTTCAGGCGCCCGTCTTGAGACGTCTCAAAACTAGCATGCACGTTCAGGCGCCCGTCTTGAGACGTCTCAAAACTAGCATGCACGTTCAGGCGCCCGTCTTGAGACGTCTCAAAACTAGCATGCACGTTCAGGCGCCCGTCTTGAGACGTCTCAAAACTAGCATGCACGTTCAGGCGCCCGTCTTGAGACGTCTCAAAACTAGCATGCACGTTCAGGCGCCCGTCTTGAGACGTCTCAAAACTAGCATGCACGTTCAGGCGCCCGTCTTGAGACGTCTCAAAACTAGCATGCACGTTCAGGCGCCCGTCTTGAGACGTCTCAAAACTAGCATGCACGTTCAGGCGCCCGTCTTGAGACGTCTCAAAACTAGCATGCACGTTCAGGCGCCCGTCTTGAGACGTCTCAAAACTAGCATGCACGTTCAGGCGCCCGTCTTGAGACGTCTCAAAACTAGCATGCACGTTCAGGCGCCCGTCTTGAGACGTCTCAAAACTAGCATGCACGTTCAGGCGCCCGTCTTGAGACGTCTCAAAACTAGCATGCACGTTCAGGCGCCCGTCTTGAGACGTCTCAAAACTAGCATGCACGTTCAGGCGCCCGTCTTGAGACGTCTCAAAACTAGCATGCACGTTCAGGCGCCCGTCTTGAGACGTCTCAAAACTAGCATGCACGTTCAGGCGCCCGTCTTGAGACGTCTCAAAACTAGCATGCACGTTCAGGCGCCCGTCTTGAGACGTCTCAAAACTAGCATGCACGTTCAGGCGCCCGTCTTGAGACGTCTCAAAACTAGCATGCACGTTCAGGCGCCCGTCTTGAGACGTCTCAAAACTAGCATGCACGTTCAGGCGCCCGTCTTGAGACGTCTCAAAACTAGCATGCACGTTCAGGCGCCCGTCTTGAGACGTCTCAAAACTAGCATGCACGTTCAGGCGCCCGTCTTGAGACGTCTCAAAACTAGCATGCACGTTCAGGCGCCCGTCTTGAGACGTCTCAAAACTAGCATGCACGTTCAGGCGCCCGTCTTGAGACGTCTCAAAACTAGCATGCACGTTCAGGCGCCCGTCTTGAGACGTCTCAAAACTAGCATGCACGTTCAGGCGCCCGTCTTGAGACGTCTCAAAACTAGCATGCACGTTCAGGCGCCCGTCTTGAGACGTCTCAAAACTAGCATGCACGTTCAGGCGCCCGTCTTGAGACGTCTCAAAACTAGCATGCACGTTCAGGCGCCCGTCTTGAGACGTCTCAAAACTAGCATGCACGTTCAGGCGCCCGTCTTGAGACGTCTCAAAACTAGCATGCACGTTCAGGCGCCCGTCTTGAGACGTCTCAAAACTAGCATGCACGTTCAGGCGCCCGTCTTGAGACGTCTCAAAACTAGCATGCACGTTCAGGCGCCCGTCTTGAGACGTCTCAAAACTAGCATGCACGTTCAGGCGCCCGTCTTGAGACGTCTCAAAACTAGCATGCACGTTCAGGCGCCCGTCTTGAGACGTCTCAAAACTAGCATGCACGTTCAGGCGCCCGTCTTGAGACGTCTCAAAACTAGCATGCACGTTCAGGCGCCCGTCTTGAGACGTCTCAAAACTAGCATGCACGTTCAGGCGCCCGTCTTGAGACGTCTCAAAACTAGCATGCACGTTCAGGCGCCCGTCTTGAGACGTCTCAAAACTAGCATGCACGTTCAGGCGCCCGTCTTGAGACGTCTCAAAACTAGCATGCACGTTCAGGCGCCCGTCTTGAGACGTCTCAAAACTAGCATGCACGTTCAGGCGCCCGTCTTGAGACGTCTCAAAACTAGCATGCACGTTCAGGCGCCCGTCTTGAGACGTCTCAAAACTAGCATGCACGTTCAGGCGCCCGTCTTGAGACGTCTCAAAACTAGCATGCACGTTCAGGCGCCCGTCTTGAGACGTCTCAAAACTAGCATGCACGTTCAGGCGCCCGTCTTGAGACGTCTCAAAACTAGCATGCACGTTCAGGCGCCCGTCTTGAGACGTCTCAAAACTAGCATGCACGTTCAGGCGCCCGTCTTGAGACGTCTCAAAACTAGCATGCACGTTCAGGCGCCCGTCTTGAGACGTCTCAAAACTAGCATGCACGTTCAGGCGCCCGTCTTGAGACGTCTCAAAACTAGCATGCACGTTCAGGCGCCCGTCTTGAGACGTCTCAAAACTAGCATGCACGTTCAGGCGCCCGTCTTGAGACGTCTCAAAACTAGCATGCACGTTCAGGCGCCCGTCTTGAGACGTCTCAAAACTAGCATGCACGTTCAGGCGCCCGTCTTGAGACGTCTCAAAACTAGCATGCACGTTCAGGCGCCCGTCTTGAGACGTCTCAAAACTAGCATGCACGTTCAGGCGCCCGTCTTGAGACGTCTCAAAACTAGCATGCACGTTCAGGCGCCCGTCTTGAGACGTCTCAAAACTAGCATGCACGTTCAGGCGCCCGTCTTGAGACGTCTCAAAACTAGCATGCACGTTCAGGCGCCCGTCTTGAGACGTCTCAAAACTAGCATGCACGTTCAGGCGCCCGTCTTGAGACGTCTCAAAACTAGCATGCACGTTCAGGCGCCCGTCTTGAGACGTCTCAAAACTAGCATGCACGTTCAGGCGCCCGTCTTGAGACGTCTCAAAACTAGCATGCACGTTCAGGCGCCCGTCTTGAGACGTCTCAAAACTAGCATGCACGTTCAGGCGCCCGTCTTGAGACGTCTCAAAACTAGCATGCACGTTCAGGCGCCCGTCTTGAGACGTCTCAAAACTAGCATGCACGTTCAGGCGCCCGTCTTGAGACGTCTCAAAACTAGCATGCACGTTCAGGCGCCCGTCTTGAGACGTCTCAAAACTAGCATGCACGTTCAGGCGCCCGTCTTGAGACGTCTCAAAACTAGCATGCACGTTCAGGCGCCCGTCTTGAGACGTCTCAAAACTAGCATGCACGTTCAGGCGCCCGTCTTGAGACGTCTCAAAACTAGCATGCACGTTCAGGCGCCCGTCTTGAGACGTCTCAAAACTAGCATGCACGTTCAGGCGCCCGTCTTGAGACGTCTCAAAACTAGCATGCACGTTCAGGCGCCCGTCTTGAGACGTCTCAAAACTAGCATGCACGTTCAGGCGCCCGTCTTGAGACGTCTCAAAACTAGCATGCACGTTCAGGCGCCCGTCTTGAGACGTCTCAAAACTAGCATGCACGTTCAGGCGCCCGTCTTGAGACGTCTCAAAACTAGCATGCACGTTCAGGCGCCCGTCTTGAGACGTCTCAAAACTAGCATGCACGTTCAGGCGCCCGTCTTGAGACGTCTCAAAACTAGCATGCACGTTCAGGCGCCCGTCTTGAGACGTCTCAAAACTAGCATGCACGTTCAGGCGCCCGTCTTGAGACGTCTCAAAACTAGCATGCACGTTCAGGCGCCCGTCTTGAGACGTCTCAAAACTAGCATGCACGTTCAGGCGCCCGTCTTGAGACGTCTCAAAACTAGCATGCACGTTCAGGCGCCCGTCTTGAGACGTCTCAAAACTAGCATGCACGTTCAGGCGCCCGTCTTGAGACGTCTCAAAACTAGCATGCACGTTCAGGCGCCCGTCTTGAGACGTCTCAAAACTAGCATGCACGTTCAGGCGCCCGTCTTGAGACGTCTCAAAACTAGCATGCACGTTCAGGCGCCCGTCTTGAGACGTCTCAAAACTAGCATGCACGTTCAGGCGCCCGTCTTGAGACGTCTCAAAACTAGCATGCACGTTCAGGCGCCCGTCTTGAGACGTCTCAAAACTAGCATGCACGTTCAGGCGCCCGTCTTGAGACGTCTCAAAACTAGCATGCACGTTCAGGCGCCCGTCTTGAGACGTCTCAAAACTAGCATGCACGTTCAGGCGCCCGTCTTGAGACGTCTCAAAACTAGCATGCACGTTCAGGCGCCCGTCTTGAGACGTCTCAAAACTAGCATGCACGTTCAGGCGCCCGTCTTGAGACGTCTCAAAACTAGCATGCACGTTCAGGCGCCCGTCTTGAGACGTCTCAAAACTAGCATGCACGTTCAGGCGCCCGTCTTGAGACGTCTCAAAACTAGCATGCACGTTCAGGCGCCCGTCTTGAGACGTCTCAAAACTAGCATGCACGTTCAGGCGCCCGTCTTGAGACGTCTCAAAACTAGCATGCACGTTCAGGCGCCCGTCTTGAGACGTCTCAAAACTAGCATGCACGTTCAGGCGCCCGTCTTGAGACGTCTCAAAACTAGCATGCACGTTCAGGCGCCCGTCTTGAGACGTCTCAAAACTAGCATGCACGTTCAGGCGCCCGTCTTGAGACGTCTCAAAACTAGCATGCACGTTCAGGCGCCCGTCTTGAGACGTCTCAAAACTAGCATGCACGTTCAGGCGCCCGTCTTGAGACGTCTCAAAACTAGCATGCACGTTCAGGCGCCCGTCTTGAGACGTCTCAAAACTAGCATGCACGTTCAGGCGCCCGTCTTGAGACGTCTCAAAACTAGCATGCACGTTCAGGCGCCCGTCTTGAGACGTCTCAAAACTAGCATGCACGTTCAGGCGCCCGTCTTGAGACGTCTCAAAACTAGCATGCACGTTCAGGCGCCCGTCTTGAGACGTCTCAAAACTAGCATGCACGTTCAGGCGCCCGTCTTGAGACGTCTCAAAACTAGCATGCACGTTCAGGCGCCCGTCTTGAGACGTCTCAAAACTAGCATGCACGTTCAGGCGCCCGTCTTGAGACGTCTCAAAACTAGCATGCACGTTCAGGCGCCCGTCTTGAGACGTCTCAAAACTAGCATGCACGTTCAGGCGCCCGTCTTGAGACGTCTCAAAACTAGCATGCACGTTCAGGCGCCCGTCTTGAGACGTCTCAAAACTAGCATGCACGTTCAGGCGCCCGTCTTGAGACGTCTCAAAACTAGCATGCACGTTCAGGCGCCCGTCTTGAGACGTCTCAAAACTAGCATGCACGTTCAGGCGCCCGTCTTGAGACGTCTCAAAACTAGCATGCACGTTCAGGCGCCCGTCTTGAGACGTCTCAAAACTAGCATGCACGTTCAGGCGCCCGTCTTGAGACGTCTCAAAACTAGCATGCACGTTCAGGCGCCCGTCTTGAGACGTCTCAAAACTAGCATGCACGTTCAGGCGCCCGTCTTGAGACGTCTCAAAACTAGCATGCACGTTCAGGCGCCCGTCTTGAGACGTCTCAAAACTAGCATGCACGTTCAGGCGCCCGTCTTGAGACGTCTCAAAACTAGCATGCACGTTCAGGCGCCCGTCTTGAGACGTCTCAAAACTAGCATGCACGTTCAGGCGCCCGTCTTGAGACGTCTCAAAACTAGCATGCACGTTCAGGCGCCCGTCTTGAGACGTCTCAAAACTAGCATGCACGTTCAGGCGCCCGTCTTGAGACGTCTCAAAACTAGCATGCACGTTCAGGCGCCCGTCTTGAGACGTCTCAAAACTAGCATGCACGTTCAGGCGCCCGTCTTGAGACGTCTCAAAACTAGCATGCACGTTCAGGCGCCCGTCTTGAGACGTCTCAAAACTAGCATGCACGTTCAGGCGCCCGTCTTGAGACGTCTCAAAACTAGCATGCACGTTCAGGCGCCCGTCTTGAGACGTCTCAAAACTAGCATGCACGTTCAGGCGCCCGTCTTGAGACGTCTCAAAACTAGCATGCACGTTCAGGCGCCCGTCTTGAGACGTCTCAAAACTAGCATGCACGTTCAGGCGCCCGTCTTGAGACGTCTCAAAACTAGCATGCACGTTCAGGCGCCCGTCTTGAGACGTCTCAAAACTAGCATGCACGTTCAGGCGCCCGTCTTGAGACGTCTCAAAACTAGCATGCACGTTCAGGCGCCCGTCTTGAGACGTCTCAAAACTAGCATGCACGTTCAGGCGCCCGTCTTGAGACGTCTCAAAACTAGCATGCACGTTCAGGCGCCCGTCTTGAGACGTCTCAAAACTAGCATGCACGTTCAGGCGCCCGTCTTGAGACGTCTCAAAACTAGCATGCACGTTCAGGCGCCCGTCTTGAGACGTCTCAAAACTAGCATGCACGTTCAGGCGCCCGTCTTGAGACGTCTCAAAACTAGCATGCACGTTCAGGCGCCCGTCTTGAGACGTCTCAAAACTAGCATGCACGTTCAGGCGCCCGTCTTGAGACGTCTCAAAACTAGCATGCACGTTCAGGCGCCCGTCTTGAGACGTCTCAAAACTAGCATGCACGTTCAGGCGCCCGTCTTGAGACGTCTCAAAACTAGCATGCACGTTCAGGCGCCCGTCTTGAGACGTCTCAAAACTAGCATGCACGTTCAGGCGCCCGTCTTGAGACGTCTCAAAACTAGCATGCACGTTCAGGCGCCCGTCTTGAGACGTCTCAAAACTAGCATGCACGTTCAGGCGCCCGTCTTGAGACGTCTCAAAACTAGCATGCACGTTCAGGCGCCCGTCTTGAGACGTCTCAAAACTAGCATGCACGTTCAGGCGCCCGTCTTGAGACGTCTCAAAACTAGCATGCACGTTCAGGCGCCCGTCTTGAGACGTCTCAAAACTAGCATGCACGTTCAGGCGCCCGTCTTGAGACGTCTCAAAACTAGCATGCACGTTCAGGCGCCCGTCTTGAGACGTCTCAAAACTAGCATGCACGTTCAGGCGCCCGTCTTGAGACGTCTCAAAACTAGCATGCACGTTCAGGCGCCCGTCTTGAGACGTCTCAAAACTAGCATGCACGTTCAGGCGCCCGTCTTGAGACGTCTCAAAACTAGCATGCACGTTCAGGCGCCCGTCTTGAGACGTCTCAAAACTAGCATGCACGTTCAGGCGCCCGTCTTGAGACGTCTCAAAACTAGCATGCACGTTCAGGCGCCCGTCTTGAGACGTCTCAAAACTAGCATGCACGTTCAGGCGCCCGTCTTGAGACGTCTCAAAACTAGCATGCACGTTCAGGCGCCCGTCTTGAGACGTCTCAAAACTAGCATGCACGTTCAGGCGCCCGTCTTGAGACGTCTCAAAACTAGCATGCACGTTCAGGCGCCCGTCTTGAGACGTCTCAAAACTAGCATGCACGTTCAGGCGCCCGTCTTGAGACGTCTCAAAACTAGCATGCACGTTCAGGCGCCCGTCTTGAGACGTCTCAAAACTAGCATGCACGTTCAGGCGCCCGTCTTGAGACGTCTCAAAACTAGCATGCACGTTCAGGCGCCCGTCTTGAGACGTCTCAAAACTAGCATGCACGTTCAGGCGCCCGTCTTGAGACGTCTCAAAACTAGCATGCACGTTCAGGCGCCCGTCTTGAGACGTCTCAAAACTAGCATGCACGTTCAGGCGCCCGTCTTGAGACGTCTCAAAACTAGCATGCACGTTCAGGCGCCCGTCTTGAGACGTCTCAAAACTAGCATGCACGTTCAGGCGCCCGTCTTGAGACGTCTCAAAACTAGCATGCACGTTCAGGCGCCCGTCTTGAGACGTCTCAAAACTAGCATGCACGTTCAGGCGCCCGTCTTGAGACGTCTCAAAACTAGCATGCACGTTCAGGCGCCCGTCTTGAGACGTCTCAAAACTAGCATGCACGTTCAGGCGCCCGTCTTGAGACGTCTCAAAACTAGCATGCACGTTCAGGCGCCCGTCTTGAGACGTCTCAAAACTAGCATGCACGTTCAGGCGCCCGTCTTGAGACGTCTCAAAACTAGCATGCACGTTCAGGCGCCCGTCTTGAGACGTCTCAAAACTAGCATGCACGTTCAGGCGCCCGTCTTGAGACGTCTCAAAACTAGCATGCACGTTCAGGCGCCCGTCTTGAGACGTCTCAAAACTAGCATGCACGTTCAGGCGCCCGTCTTGAGACGTCTCAAAACTAGCATGCACGTTCAGGCGCCCGTCTTGAGACGTCTCAAAACTAGCATGCACGTTCAGGCGCCCGTCTTGAGACGTCTCAAAACTAGCATGCACGTTCAGGCGCCCGTCTTGAGACGTCTCAAAACTAGCATGCACGTTCAGGCGCCCGTCTTGAGACGTCTCAAAACTAGCATGCACGTTCAGGCGCCCGTCTTGAGACGTCTCAAAACTAGCATGCACGTTCAGGCGCCCGTCTTGAGACGTCTCAAAACTAGCATGCACGTTCAGGCGCCCGTCTTGAGACGTCTCAAAACTAGCATGCACGTTCAGGCGCCCGTCTTGAGACGTCTCAAAACTAGCATGCACGTTCAGGCGCCCGTCTTGAGACGTCTCAAAACTAGCATGCACGTTCAGGCGCCCGTCTTGAGACGTCTCAAAACTAGCATGCACGTTCAGGCGCCCGTCTTGAGACGTCTCAAAACTAGCATGCACGTTCAGGCGCCCGTCTTGAGACGTCTCAAAACTAGCATGCACGTTCAGGCGCCCGTCTTGAGACGTCTCAAAACTAGCATGCACGTTCAGGCGCCCGTCTTGAGACGTCTCAAAACTAGCATGCACGTTCAGGCGCCCGTCTTGAGACGTCTCAAAACTAGCATGCACGTTCAGGCGCCCGTCTTGAGACGTCTCAAAACTAGCATGCACGTTCAGGCGCCCGTCTTGAGACGTCTCAAAACTAGCATGCACGTTCAGGCGCCCGTCTTGAGACGTCTCAAAACTAGCATGCACGTTCAGGCGCCCGTCTTGAGACGTCTCAAAACTAGCATGCACGTTCAGGCGCCCGTCTTGAGACGTCTCAAAACTAGCATGCACGTTCAGGCGCCCGTCTTGAGACGTCTCAAAACTAGCATGCACGTTCAGGCGCCCGTCTTGAGACGTCTCAAAACTAGCATGCACGTTCAGGCGCCCGTCTTGAGACGTCTCAAAACTAGCATGCACGTTCAGGCGCCCGTCTTGAGACGTCTCAAAACTAGCATGCACGTTCAGGCGCCCGTCTTGAGACGTCTCAAAACTAGCATGCACGTTCAGGCGCCCGTCTTGAGACGTCTCAAAACTAGCATGCACGTTCAGGCGCCCGTCTTGAGACGTCTCAAAACTAGCATGCACGTTCAGGCGCCCGTCTTGAGACGTCTCAAAACTAGCATGCACGTTCAGGCGCCCGTCTTGAGACGTCTCAAAACTAGCATGCACGTTCAGGCGCCCGTCTTGAGACGTCTCAAAACTAGCATGCACGTTCAGGCGCCCGTCTTGAGACGTCTCAAAACTAGCATGCACGTTCAGGCGCCCGTCTTGAGACGTCTCAAAACTAGCATGCACGTTCAGGCGCCCGTCTTGAGACGTCTCAAAACTAGCATGCACGTTCAGGCGCCCGTCTTGAGACGTCTCAAAACTAGCATGCACGTTCAGGCGCCCGTCTTGAGACGTCTCAAAACTAGCATGCACGTTCAGGCGCCCGTCTTGAGACGTCTCAAAACTAGCATGCACGTTCAGGCGCCCGTCTTGAGACGTCTCAAAACTAGCATGCACGTTCAGGCGCCCGTCTTGAGACGTCTCAAAACTAGCATGCACGTTCAGGCGCCCGTCTTGAGACGTCTCAAAACTAGCATGCACGTTCAGGCGCCCGTCTTGAGACGTCTCAAAACTAGCATGCACGTTCAGGCGCCCGTCTTGAGACGTCTCAAAACTAGCATGCACGTTCAGGCGCCCGTCTTGAGACGTCTCAAAACTAGCATGCACGTTCAGGCGCCCGTCTTGAGACGTCTCAAAACTAGCATGCACGTTCAGGCGCCCGTCTTGAGACGTCTCAAAACTAGCATGCACGTTCAGGCGCCCGTCTTGAGACGTCTCAAAACTAGCATGCACGTTCAGGCGCCCGTCTTGAGACGTCTCAAAACTAGCATGCACGTTCAGGCGCCCGTCTTGAGACGTCTCAAAACTAGCATGCACGTTCAGGCGCCCGTCTTGAGACGTCTCAAAACTAGCATGCACGTTCAGGCGCCCGTCTTGAGACGTCTCAAAACTAGCATGCACGTTCAGGCGCCCGTCTTGAGACGTCTCAAAACTAGCATGCACGTTCAGGCGCCCGTCTTGAGACGTCTCAAAACTAGCATGCACGTTCAGGCGCCCGTCTTGAGACGTCTCAAAACTAGCATGCACGTTCAGGCGCCCGTCTTGAGACGTCTCAAAACTAGCATGCACGTTCAGGCGCCCGTCTTGAGACGTCTCAAAACTAGCATGCACGTTCAGGCGCCCGTCTTGAGACGTCTCAAAACTAGCATGCACGTTCAGGCGCCCGTCTTGAGACGTCTCAAAACTAGCATGCACGTTCAGGCGCCCGTCTTGAGACGTCTCAAAACTAGCATGCACGTTCAGGCGCCCGTCTTGAGACGTCTCAAAACTAGCATGCACGTTCAGGCGCCCGTCTTGAGACGTCTCAAAACTAGCATGCACGTTCAGGCGCCCGTCTTGAGACGTCTCAAAACTAGCATGCACGTTCAGGCGCCCGTCTTGAGACGTCTCAAAACTAGCATGCACGTTCAGGCGCCCGTCTTGAGACGTCTCAAAACTAGCATGCACGTTCAGGCGCCCGTCTTGAGACGTCTCAAAACTAGCATGCACGTTCAGGCGCCCGTCTTGAGACGTCTCAAAACTAGCATGCACGTTCAGGCGCCCGTCTTGAGACGTCTCAAAACTAGCATGCACGTTCAGGCGCCCGTCTTGAGACGTCTCAAAACTAGCATGCACGTTCAGGCGCCCGTCTTGAGACGTCTCAAAACTAGCATGCACGTTCAGGCGCCCGTCTTGAGACGTCTCAAAACTAGCATGCACGTTCAGGCGCCCGTCTTGAGACGTCTCAAAACTAGCATGCACGTTCAGGCGCCCGTCTTGAGACGTCTCAAAACTAGCATGCACGTTCAGGCGCCCGTCTTGAGACGTCTCAAAACTAGCATGCACGTTCAGGCGCCCGTCTTGAGACGTCTCAAAACTAGCATGCACGTTCAGGCGCCCGTCTTGAGACGTCTCAAAACTAGCATGCACGTTCAGGCGCCCGTCTTGAGACGTCTCAAAACTAGCATGCACGTTCAGGCGCCCGTCTTGAGACGTCTCAAAACTAGCATGCACGTTCAGGCGCCCGTCTTGAGACGTCTCAAAACTAGCATGCACGTTCAGGCGCCCGTCTTGAGACGTCTCAAAACTAGCATGCACGTTCAGGCGCCCGTCTTGAGACGTCTCAAAACTAGCATGCACGTTCAGGCGCCCGTCTTGAGACGTCTCAAAACTAGCATGCACGTTCAGGCGCCCGTCTTGAGACGTCTCAAAACTAGCATGCACGTTCAGGCGCCCGTCTTGAGACGTCTCAAAACTAGCATGCACGTTCAGGCGCCCGTCTTGAGACGTCTCAAAACTAGCATGCACGTTCAGGCGCCCGTCTTGAGACGTCTCAAAACTAGCATGCACGTTCAGGCGCCCGTCTTGAGACGTCTCAAAACTAGCATGCACGTTCAGGCGCCCGTCTTGAGACGTCTCAAAACTAGCATGCACGTTCAGGCGCCCGTCTTGAGACGTCTCAAAACTAGCATGCACGTTCAGGCGCCCGTCTTGAGACGTCTCAAAACTAGCATGCACGTTCAGGCGCCCGTCTTGAGACGTCTCAAAACTAGCATGCACGTTCAGGCGCCCGTCTTGAGACGTCTCAAAACTAGCATGCACGTTCAGGCGCCCGTCTTGAGACGTCTCAAAACTAGCATGCACGTTCAGGCGCCCGTCTTGAGACGTCTCAAAACTAGCATGCACGTTCAGGCGCCCGTCTTGAGACGTCTCAAAACTAGCATGCACGTTCAGGCGCCCGTCTTGAGACGTCTCAAAACTAGCATGCACGTTCAGGCGCCCGTCTTGAGACGTCTCAAAACTAGCATGCACGTTCAGGCGCCCGTCTTGAGACGTCTCAAAACTAGCATGCACGTTCAGGCGCCCGTCTTGAGACGTCTCAAAACTAGCATGCACGTTCAGGCGCCCGTCTTGAGACGTCTCAAAACTAGCATGCACGTTCAGGCGCCCGTCTTGAGACGTCTCAAAACTAGCATGCACGTTCAGGCGCCCGTCTTGAGACGTCTCAAAACTAGCATGCACGTTCAGGCGCCCGTCTTGAGACGTCTCAAAACTAGCATGCACGTTCAGGCGCCCGTCTTGAGACGTCTCAAAACTAGCATGCACGTTCAGGCGCCCGTCTTGAGACGTCTCAAAACTAGCATGCACGTTCAGGCGCCCGTCTTGAGACGTCTCAAAACTAGCATGCACGTTCAGGCGCCCGTCTTGAGACGTCTCAAAACTAGCATGCACGTTCAGGCGCCCGTCTTGAGACGTCTCAAAACTAGCATGCACGTTCAGGCGCCCGTCTTGAGACGTCTCAAAACTAGCATGCACGTTCAGGCGCCCGTCTTGAGACGTCTCAAAACTAGCATGCACGTTCAGGCGCCCGTCTTGAGACGTCTCAAAACTAGCATGCACGTTCAGGCGCCCGTCTTGAGACGTCTCAAAACTAGCATGCACGTTCAGGCGCCCGTCTTGAGACGTCTCAAAACTAGCATGCACGTTCAGGCGCCCGTCTTGAGACGTCTCAAAACTAGCATGCACGTTCAGGCGCCCGTCTTGAGACGTCTCAAAACTAGCATGCACGTTCAGGCGCCCGTCTTGAGACGTCTCAAAACTAGCATGCACGTTCAGGCGCCCGTCTTGAGACGTCTCAAAACTAGCATGCACGTTCAGGCGCCCGTCTTGAGACGTCTCAAAACTAGCATGCACGTTCAGGCGCCCGTCTTGAGACGTCTCAAAACTAGCATGCACGTTCAGGCGCCCGTCTTGAGACGTCTCAAAACTAGCATGCACGTTCAGGCGCCCGTCTTGAGACGTCTCAAAACTAGCATGCACGTTCAGGCGCCCGTCTTGAGACGTCTCAAAACTAGCATGCACGTTCAGGCGCCCGTCTTGAGACGTCTCAAAACTAGCATGCACGTTCAGGCGCCCGTCTTGAGACGTCTCAAAACTAGCATGCACGTTCAGGCGCCCGTCTTGAGACGTCTCAAAACTAGCATGCACGTTCAGGCGCCCGTCTTGAGACGTCTCAAAACTAGCATGCACGTTCAGGCGCCCGTCTTGAGACGTCTCAAAACTAGCATGCACGTTCAGGCGCCCGTCTTGAGACGTCTCAAAACTAGCATGCACGTTCAGGCGCCCGTCTTGAGACGTCTCAAAACTAGCATGCACGTTCAGGCGCCCGTCTTGAGACGTCTCAAAACTAGCATGCACGTTCAGGCGCCCGTCTTGAGACGTCTCAAAACTAGCATGCACGTTCAGGCGCCCGTCTTGAGACGTCTCAAAACTAGCATGCACGTTCAGGCGCCCGTCTTGAGACGTCTCAAAACTAGCATGCACGTTCAGGCGCCCGTCTTGAGACGTCTCAAAACTAGCATGCACGTTCAGGCGCCCGTCTTGAGACGTCTCAAAACTAGCATGCACGTTCAGGCGCCCGTCTTGAGACGTCTCAAAACTAGCATGCACGTTCAGGCGCCCGTCTTGAGACGTCTCAAAACTAGCATGCACGTTCAGGCGCCCGTCTTGAGACGTCTCAAAACTAGCATGCACGTTCAGGCGCCCGTCTTGAGACGTCTCAAAACTAGCATGCACGTTCAGGCGCCCGTCTTGAGACGTCTCAAAACTAGCATGCACGTTCAGGCGCCCGTCTTGAGACGTCTCAAAACTAGCATGCACGTTCAGGCGCCCGTCTTGAGACGTCTCAAAACTAGCATGCACGTTCAGGCGCCCGTCTTGAGACGTCTCAAAACTAGCATGCACGTTCAGGCGCCCGTCTTGAGACGTCTCAAAACTAGCATGCACGTTCAGGCGCCCGTCTTGAGACGTCTCAAAACTAGCATGCACGTTCAGGCGCCCGTCTTGAGACGTCTCAAAACTAGCATGCACGTTCAGGCGCCCGTCTTGAGACGTCTCAAAACTAGCATGCACGTTCAGGCGCCCGTCTTGAGACGTCTCAAAACTAGCATGCACGTTCAGGCGCCCGTCTTGAGACGTCTCAAAACTAGCATGCACGTTCAGGCGCCCGTCTTGAGACGTCTCAAAACTAGCATGCACGTTCAGGCGCCCGTCTTGAGACGTCTCAAAACTAGCATGCACGTTCAGGCGCCCGTCTTGAGACGTCTCAAAACTAGCATGCACGTTCAGGCGCCCGTCTTGAGACGTCTCAAAACTAGCATGCACGTTCAGGCGCCCGTCTTGAGACGTCTCAAAACTAGCATGCACGTTCAGGCGCCCGTCTTGAGACGTCTCAAAACTAGCATGCACGTTCAGGCGCCCGTCTTGAGACGTCTCAAAACTAGCATGCACGTTCAGGCGCCCGTCTTGAGACGTCTCAAAACTAGCATGCACGTTCAGGCGCCCGTCTTGAGACGTCTCAAAACTAGCATGCACGTTCAGGCGCCCGTCTTGAGACGTCTCAAAACTAGCATGCACGTTCAGGCGCCCGTCTTGAGACGTCTCAAAACTAGCATGCACGTTCAGGCGCCCGTCTTGAGACGTCTCAAAACTAGCATGCACGTTCAGGCGCCCGTCTTGAGACGTCTCAAAACTAGCATGCACGTTCAGGCGCCCGTCTTGAGACGTCTCAAAACTAGCATGCACGTTCAGGCGCCCGTCTTGAGACGTCTCAAAACTAGCATGCACGTTCAGGCGCCCGTCTTGAGACGTCTCAAAACTAGCATGCACGTTCAGGCGCCCGTCTTGAGACGTCTCAAAACTAGCATGCACGTTCAGGCGCCCGTCTTGAGACGTCTCAAAACTAGCATGCACGTTCAGGCGCCCGTCTTGAGACGTCTCAAAACTAGCATGCACGTTCAGGCGCCCGTCTTGAGACGTCTCAAAACTAGCATGCACGTTCAGGCGCCCGTCTTGAGACGTCTCAAAACTAGCATGCACGTTCAGGCGCCCGTCTTGAGACGTCTCAAAACTAGCATGCACGTTCAGGCGCCCGTCTTGAGACGTCTCAAAACTAGCATGCACGTTCAGGCGCCCGTCTTGAGACGTCTCAAAACTAGCATGCACGTTCAGGCGCCCGTCTTGAGACGTCTCAAAACTAGCATGCACGTTCAGGCGCCCGTCTTGAGACGTCTCAAAACTAGCATGCACGTTCAGGCGCCCGTCTTGAGACGTCTCAAAACTAGCATGCACGTTCAGGCGCCCGTCTTGAGACGTCTCAAAACTAGCATGCACGTTCAGGCGCCCGTCTTGAGACGTCTCAAAACTAGCATGCACGTTCAGGCGCCCGTCTTGAGACGTCTCAAAACTAGCATGCACGTTCAGGCGCCCGTCTTGAGACGTCTCAAAACTAGCATGCACGTTCAGGCGCCCGTCTTGAGACGTCTCAAAACTAGCATGCACGTTCAGGCGCCCGTCTTGAGACGTCTCAAAACTAGCATGCACGTTCAGGCGCCCGTCTTGAGACGTCTCAAAACTAGCATGCACGTTCAGGCGCCCGTCTTGAGACGTCTCAAAACTAGCATGCACGTTCAGGCGCCCGTCTTGAGACGTCTCAAAACTAGCATGCACGTTCAGGCGCCCGTCTTGAGACGTCTCAAAACTAGCATGCACGTTCAGGCGCCCGTCTTGAGACGTCTCAAAACTAGCATGCACGTTCAGGCGCCCGTCTTGAGACGTCTCAAAACTAGCATGCACGTTCAGGCGCCCGTCTTGAGACGTCTCAAAACTAGCATGCACGTTCAGGCGCCCGTCTTGAGACGTCTCAAAACTAGCATGCACGTTCAGGCGCCCGTCTTGAGACGTCTCAAAACTAGCATGCACGTTCAGGCGCCCGTCTTGAGACGTCTCAAAACTAGCATGCACGTTCAGGCGCCCGTCTTGAGACGTCTCAAAACTAGCATGCACGTTCAGGCGCCCGTCTTGAGACGTCTCAAAACTAGCATGCACGTTCAGGCGCCCGTCTTGAGACGTCTCAAAACTAGCATGCACGTTCAGGCGCCCGTCTTGAGACGTCTCAAAACTAGCATGCACGTTCAGGCGCCCGTCTTGAGACGTCTCAAAACTAGCATGCACGTTCAGGCGCCCGTCTTGAGACGTCTCAAAACTAGCATGCACGTTCAGGCGCCCGTCTTGAGACGTCTCAAAACTAGCATGCACGTTCAGGCGCCCGTCTTGAGACGTCTCAAAACTAGCATGCACGTTCAGGCGCCCGTCTTGAGACGTCTCAAAACTAGCATGCACGTTCAGGCGCCCGTCTTGAGACGTCTCAAAACTAGCATGCACGTTCAGGCGCCCGTCTTGAGACGTCTCAAAACTAGCATGCACGTTCAGGCGCCCGTCTTGAGACGTCTCAAAACTAGCATGCACGTTCAGGCGCCCGTCTTGAGACGTCTCAAAACTAGCATGCACGTTCAGGCGCCCGTCTTGAGACGTCTCAAAACTAGCATGCACGTTCAGGCGCCCGTCTTGAGACGTCTCAAAACTAGCATGCACGTTCAGGCGCCCGTCTTGAGACGTCTCAAAACTAGCATGCACGTTCAGGCGCCCGTCTTGAGACGTCTCAAAACTAGCATGCACGTTCAGGCGCCCGTCTTGAGACGTCTCAAAACTAGCATGCACGTTCAGGCGCCCGTCTTGAGACGTCTCAAAACTAGCATGCACGTTCAGGCGCCCGTCTTGAGACGTCTCAAAACTAGCATGCACGTTCAGGCGCCCGTCTTGAGACGTCTCAAAACTAGCATGCACGTTCAGGCGCCCGTCTTGAGACGTCTCAAAACTAGCATGCACGTTCAGGCGCCCGTCTTGAGACGTCTCAAAACTAGCATGCACGTTCAGGCGCCCGTCTTGAGACGTCTCAAAACTAGCATGCACGTTCAGGCGCCCGTCTTGAGACGTCTCAAAACTAGCATGCACGTTCAGGCGCCCGTCTTGAGACGTCTCAAAACTAGCATGCACGTTCAGGCGCCCGTCTTGAGACGTCTCAAAACTAGCATGCACGTTCAGGCGCCCGTCTTGAGACGTCTCAAAACTAGCATGCACGTTCAGGCGCCCGTCTTGAGACGTCTCAAAACTAGCATGCACGTTCAGGCGCCCGTCTTGAGACGTCTCAAAACTAGCATGCACGTTCAGGCGCCCGTCTTGAGACGTCTCAAAACTAGCATGCACGTTCAGGCGCCCGTCTTGAGACGTCTCAAAACTAGCATGCACGTTCAGGCGCCCGTCTTGAGACGTCTCAAAACTAGCATGCACGTTCAGGCGCCCGTCTTGAGACGTCTCAAAACTAGCATGCACGTTCAGGCGCCCGTCTTGAGACGTCTCAAAACTAGCATGCACGTTCAGGCGCCCGTCTTGAGACGTCTCAAAACTAGCATGCACGTTCAGGCGCCCGTCTTGAGACGTCTCAAAACTAGCATGCACGTTCAGGCGCCCGTCTTGAGACGTCTCAAAACTAGCATGCACGTTCAGGCGCCCGTCTTGAGACGTCTCAAAACTAGCATGCACGTTCAGGCGCCCGTCTTGAGACGTCTCAAAACTAGCATGCACGTTCAGGCGCCCGTCTTGAGACGTCTCAAAACTAGCATGCACGTTCAGGCGCCCGTCTTGAGACGTCTCAAAACTAGCATGCACGTTCAGGCGCCCGTCTTGAGACGTCTCAAAACTAGCATGCACGTTCAGGCGCCCGTCTTGAGACGTCTCAAAACTAGCATGCACGTTCAGGCGCCCGTCTTGAGACGTCTCAAAACTAGCATGCACGTTCAGGCGCCCGTCTTGAGACGTCTCAAAACTAGCATGCACGTTCAGGCGCCCGTCTTGAGACGTCTCAAAACTAGCATGCACGTTCAGGCGCCCGTCTTGAGACGTCTCAAAACTAGCATGCACGTTCAGGCGCCCGTCTTGAGACGTCTCAAAACTAGCATGCACGTTCAGGCGCCCGTCTTGAGACGTCTCAAAACTAGCATGCACGTTCAGGCGCCCGTCTTGAGACGTCTCAAAACTAGCATGCACGTTCAGGCGCCCGTCTTGAGACGTCTCAAAACTAGCATGCACGTTCAGGCGCCCGTCTTGAGACGTCTCAAAACTAGCATGCACGTTCAGGCGCCCGTCTTGAGACGTCTCAAAACTAGCATGCACGTTCAGGCGCCCGTCTTGAGACGTCTCAAAACTAGCATGCACGTTCAGGCGCCCGTCTTGAGACGTCTCAAAACTAGCATGCACGTTCAGGCGCCCGTCTTGAGACGTCTCAAAACTAGCATGCACGTTCAGGCGCCCGTCTTGAGACGTCTCAAAACTAGCATGCACGTTCAGGCGCCCGTCTTGAGACGTCTCAAAACTAGCATGCACGTTCAGGCGCCCGTCTTGAGACGTCTCAAAACTAGCATGCACGTTCAGGCGCCCGTCTTGAGACGTCTCAAAACTAGCATGCACGTTCAGGCGCCCGTCTTGAGACGTCTCAAAACTAGCATGCACGTTCAGGCGCCCGTCTTGAGACGTCTCAAAACTAGCATGCACGTTCAGGCGCCCGTCTTGAGACGTCTCAAAACTAGCATGCACGTTCAGGCGCCCGTCTTGAGACGTCTCAAAACTAGCATGCACGTTCAGGCGCCCGTCTTGAGACGTCTCAAAACTAGCATGCACGTTCAGGCGCCCGTCTTGAGACGTCTCAAAACTAGCATGCACGTTCAGGCGCCCGTCTTGAGACGTCTCAAAACTAGCATGCACGTTCAGGCGCCCGTCTTGAGACGTCTCAAAACTAGCATGCACGTTCAGGCGCCCGTCTTGAGACGTCTCAAAACTAGCATGCACGTTCAGGCGCCCGTCTTGAGACGTCTCAAAACTAGCATGCACGTTCAGGCGCCCGTCTTGAGACGTCTCAAAACTAGCATGCACGTTCAGGCGCCCGTCTTGAGACGTCTCAAAACTAGCATGCACGTTCAGGCGCCCGTCTTGAGACGTCTCAAAACTAGCATGCACGTTCAGGCGCCCGTCTTGAGACGTCTCAAAACTAGCATGCACGTTCAGGCGCCCGTCTTGAGACGTCTCAAAACTAGCATGCACGTTCAGGCGCCCGTCTTGAGACGTCTCAAAACTAGCATGCACGTTCAGGCGCCCGTCTTGAGACGTCTCAAAACTAGCATGCACGTTCAGGCGCCCGTCTTGAGACGTCTCAAAACTAGCATGCACGTTCAGGCGCCCGTCTTGAGACGTCTCAAAACTAGCATGCACGTTCAGGCGCCCGTCTTGAGACGTCTCAAAACTAGCATGCACGTTCAGGCGCCCGTCTTGAGACGTCTCAAAACTAGCATGCACGTTCAGGCGCCCGTCTTGAGACGTCTCAAAACTAGCATGCACGTTCAGGCGCCCGTCTTGAGACGTCTCAAAACTAGCATGCACGTTCAGGCGCCCGTCTTGAGACGTCTCAAAACTAGCATGCACGTTCAGGCGCCCGTCTTGAGACGTCTCAAAACTAGCATGCACGTTCAGGCGCCCGTCTTGAGACGTCTCAAAACTAGCATGCACGTTCAGGCGCCCGTCTTGAGACGTCTCAAAACTAGCATGCACGTTCAGGCGCCCGTCTTGAGACGTCTCAAAACTAGCATGCACGTTCAGGCGCCCGTCTTGAGACGTCTCAAAACTAGCATGCACGTTCAGGCGCCCGTCTTGAGACGTCTCAAAACTAGCATGCACGTTCAGGCGCCCGTCTTGAGACGTCTCAAGGTTGGGCAGAGCAGCCAGGGAGGCGGGGACAGGCCCTGACAGCTTGTTGTTGTTGAGCTTACTGGTTGACACACGGGGTGGGGGAAGAGAGAGGGGGGGAGGGGGAACATTAGAGAGAACGTGGAGACGACAGGACAGGGCATTGGAGGAGATGTCAGAGGCAGAGCAGCGAGGGGGGCGGGGACGAGCCCTGACAGCTTGTTGTTGTTGAGCTTGCTGGTTGACACACGGGGTGGGGGAAGAGGGCGGCGAGGGGAGGAGGGGAGAAAGGTGAGGGGAGGGAAAGACGTACATAGCCTACAGTGCATTAATTTCTCTATAGGACGTACATGGATTGCTATGCCCTATAACTGGATCGTAGCTGCGTGGGGTTTCCAATCCACGAGGGGATGGATTGTATTGTTGGGTCACCTCAAAACTCAAATCGGATAGCTCTATATGTTCGCTTCCTGAACGTTGCAGGGAGTTTTTGAGAATTGTAAAAAAATCCCTGCAATCGGACTTTTGAGTCGACTCAAAAGTCACCTAGCTCTATGTTCACTTCCTGAACCGTAGACGGATCGTAGCTGGGTGAGGTTCCCAATCGACGAGGGGATAGGGGATTCAGTCAACTCAGGACTTGAACAGCAATCTGCTATGATCCACAGCAATAGAACTTGCTATGCTCGCTCCACCACCGGACATACATGGATCGTAGCTGGGTGAGGTTTCCAATCGACGAGGGGATGGATTGTGAATTGACTCAACACTTGCCCAATGCCCAGTGCTATGCTCGCTCGATCGTGCGTACACGGGCCATTCAAGGCTTCCTCTACAAAACGTACATGGATCGTAGCTGGGTGAGGTTTCCAATAGACGAGGGGATGGAGCCTTGAAGCTGGTTGTGATCCATCCAGCTGACACGTGGCGAGTGGGGGGGAAAGGGGGAGGGGGGAGTGGGGAAGGAACAGGGAGAATGAGGGAAAGAGGGAGGAGGTGCGGGATGGAGCCTTGTAGCTGGTTGTGATCCATCCAGCTGACACATGGGGAAGAGGGGAGGGGGGGGAGGAGGGGGTGTAAGGGGTTAGGGGAGAAGAGAGGGGGGGGGGGGGGAGGAGGAAGAGTGGTAATGAACGAAAGAGGGAAGGAGGTGAGGTTTCCAAGACGAGGGGATGGAGCCTCGTAGCTGGTTGTGATCCATCCAGCTGACATGTGGAGATGCAGGTTGGGGTATGCAGGGGTGCGAGGAACGACACGGGGATAGAGTAAAAAGAGATTCAGACATGTCTCAGTGAGCTCACTGAGACATGTCTGAATCTCGCGTGGAGATGCAGGTTGGGGTATGCAGGGGTGCGAGGAACGACACGGGGATAGAGTAAAAAGAGAGACGAGGAAAGTAGGGAGCAGAGGAAGGAGGGAGGAAGAGAGAGCGGGGGAATGATACGGCAGAGTGGATAGAGATGGGCAGATATCGATGGGCAGATAAAAGGGAGCTGCTGGGGACTGCTGGGTGGGGACTGCTGGGGTGGGGACTGCTGGAGACTGCCAGGGAGAGGCTTACAGAGTCTGCAGTGTGGTAAGCTCGGAGATGCAGGCTGAGAAAGGACCGGAGATGTTGAGGTGGGTTAGATTCCTGGTGGGTGGAGTGACAGGTGGCACATGGAGGTGTTGACAGGTGGCACATGGAGGTGTTGACAGGTGGCACATGGAGGCGATGACAGGTGGCATATGGTGGAGGGGACAGCTGGCACACAGGACAGGAATAGTGGAACCAAGGCGTAAGAGAGGAGAGCGAAGGAGGTAAGGCAATACACATGCCGCAGAGGCAGCAAGCAGGGCAGCAAAAGCAGGGCAGCAAGCAGGGCAGCAAGCAGGGCAGCAAGCAGGGCAGCAAGCAGGGCAGCAAGCAGGGCAGCAAGCAGGGCAGCAAGCAGGGCAGCAAGCAGGGCAGCACAAAGCAACGACACACAAGCATGCACGCAAGTACCAGACTAGACTATTAGCCTTGACCAGAAGACAACAACTTCTCAACCACTCACAGGCCGATGACTGAAGAGTGCTGGCGGGAGGTCTTGCAAGTGACCCCCGGCCACACAATGGGGTAGCAAGGGTCGCCAGTCCAGCCGTCCAAAGCTGCTGCCACGCCCATCTGTGCTTTGATGCACAACAGGGCGCGAACTGTGAGAGGCGGAGTGAAAAGGGGTGGAGAGAAGTAGAGAGAGGAGAAGAAAAGAGAGGAGGGAAGTGGGAAGGGGAATGGTTATAACACTACAGCATGCAATTGTAGGTAGAATCGGGAAGTGGGGTCGTGCTTTTGACGAGCTGAGGTATGTTGTGGATCTGCTAAACCTTTTTGTTGATCTGTTGGTTTATGTTGTTGCTCTACTGAGTGATGCAGAGGAAGCTTCTCAGCAGGTCAACAGCATGAACCAGCAGATGAAGTACATGATTCAGCAAATCAACAGCATGACTCAGCACATCAGCATTATGACTCAGCACGTCAAGAGCATGACTCAGCACGTCAGCATTATGACTCAGCACGTCAACAGCATGACTCAGCACGTCAACAGCATGACTCAGCACGTCAACAGCATGACTCAGCACGTCAACAGCATGAATCAGTGCGTCAACAACATGACTCAGTGCGTCAACAGCATGACTCTGCACGTCAGCAGCTTGACTCAGCAGGTCAACAACATGACTCAGCACGTCAGCATCATGACTCAGCACGTCAGCAGCATGACTCAGTACGTCACATGACTCAGCACGTCAGCAGCATGACTCAGCACATCAGCAGCATGACTCAGTACGTCACATGACTCAGCACGTCAGCAGCATGACTCAGAGCGCGGCACAGATTAAGCATCAATTGTTCCGCATGTCACCTTGACTTGGCAACAACACAACTCAGCACATCAACATCAACATCATGACTGACTCACCACATCAACAACATAACTCAGCGGATCAGTCAGCAGTAGCACGACACAAGCGAAACAATAAGGATCTTCAACACAACCCATTATACAGCGCAAGCAAATTTTATACTTCTTGCGTCCCTTCCATAATGTCTAATGTTCATAAAAAACACACCTTGCTCTTTTGGCACAGCAGCCTTTGGCTCCACCACAGTATACAGCTCGAGCCCAGCCAGCCCCACCTCCTTCACCCTACTCCCCTCCTCTGCCTTTAGCTGTATACTCGTTTCCGCCACCGTTCCCTGCGGCCCCTGCTGCTGCCCGTTACCTTGCCCGGCCCCTTGCGCTTTCGCCGTCGCGTTTCCACCTGCCCCTTCAGCTGCCCCAACAACGTCAAAAGCGAAGCTGAGCTGCCCGGCGGTGTTTTTGTTCCACTGGCGGTTAGCGGCAGAGGGCAGGGCGGGGGCGTTGCGCAGGAGAGGCGCGCCGTTGATGAGAATGGCCAGGAGGAGGTCGGCTGATGGGGTACTTGAGTTGGCATTGGTGTTGGCGACATTACCGGTAGGAGCAATTATGTCTGTGAAATAGAGATAGGCCTGCAGTGGAAAGGGGAGAGAGAAGGGGGGAAGAGGGGAAGAGAGGGGGGAAGGGGAAGGGGGGAAGGTGAGAAGAGGAGGAAGAACAGAGAATCCACAAATTCAGAAGCTGAGCAGTCAGCTGTGTGTTTGTTCCAGTGCCCGTTGGGAGCGGAGGGCAGGGCGGGGGCGTTGCGCAGGAGAGGAGAGCCGTTGATGAGGATGGCCAGGAGGAGGTCGGCTGATGGGATGCTGCTGGTGTTGCTGGCGGCGGGGGTAACAGTCGGAGGAATGATGTCAGTGAAATAGAGGTATGCCTGAAGTGGAAAGGGGAAAGAGGAGGGGGGCGAGAGGGAAAGAGAGGGAGAGACGAGAGAAGGGGGGACGACAGGGAATTCACAAAATCAGAAGCTGAATAACCACTTGTCTATTTGTTCCAGTGAGTGGTGAGAGCGGAGGGCAGGGCGGGGGCGTTGCACAGGAGAGGCGAGCCATTGATGAGGATGGCCACTCGGAATGGAACCACTCAAACAACCAACCCAACCACTAACACCCACCTGGTACTTCCCCGGAGCCAGCCCAAATCACTCAGAACCACTCAGAGTTACTCAGAACCACTGAAACAGCGCACCCACTAACACCCACCTGGTACTTCCCCGGAGCCAGCCCATAGAAGCGGTAAGTCAGCCCCTGCGCGCCCTTAGTCGTCCTCGCCTTCTGCACCACAAACTGAGGCACGGCATTGCTGCTCATGCTGGCAGGGATGACCACATTGGTGCTGGCAACCGCTACAGAGGCGGCTGAGGGGATGTAGGTGTAGGTGCCAGGAGCAGGGTCCCCAAAAAGAGGCATGTCTGCATACCACACGCGATCGAGTGGGTCATCGGGGTACCTGGGAGGGAGTGTGACACAGAAAAGGACAGGGAAAAAAGGGGGAAAGGGAATGGTAAGGGGGTTGGGGTGATGTAGGTGTAGTGTAGGTGCCGGGAGTGGCGTCGCCAAAGAGAGGCATGTCCGCGTACCACACGCGATCGAGTGGGTCATCGGGGTACCTGGGGGAGTGTGACAAGGGAAAGGAAGAGAAGGGAAGGAAATGGTAAGAGGATGGAGGGGATGTAGGTGTAGTGTAGGTGCCGGGTGCAGGGTTGGCAAAGAGAGGCATGTCTGCGTACCAGAGCCGATCCAAAGGGTCGTCAGGGTACCTGGGAAGGGAAGGGGAAAAAAGGGGTGGAGGGGAGGAATGGTTCGGTAAGGTGGAGGAGGGGATGTAGGTGTAGGTGCCGTGCCGGGTGCAGGGTCGCCAAAGAGAGGCATGTCTGCGTACCACACCCTATCCAAAGGGTCGTCAGGGTAGCTGGGGGAACATGAAAGTTGCGGGGAAGGGAATGGTAAGCGGGGGTTGAGGGAATGTAGGTGTAGGGTCGGCGTACCACACTCTATCCAAAGGTTCGGCGAAAAGAGAGAGAACGAGAATCAGATCAGCCTTACTGCAACAAGCCTTACCGGTAGGAGCCAACAAAGAAGGAGTCTCCAGCACAAGTCAGTCAGCCTTCAGTAGTTGAGCAGCAGCTGGAAGGTGCCTTGACGTTTGAGTCAACTCAAAAGTCAACTCGTTACTGCAAGTTGCAACAAACCTTACTGGTACAGAATAATCATCAGCCTTACCAGTAGGTTCCTTGTTGGAACGAGTCGCCTGCACAGGCCAGCGTGCAGTACTTCAGTAGCTAAGTGATTTGACTTTTGAGTTGACTCAACCAGGCTCCTTCCTTAGTTCACGCACCGCACCTAACCCATGGGGTTTGTTCCGTTAAGCTAAAAGCAACAGGGGTTGATGAAGGTAAGGTCTCCGCAGCCCACCTGTCCACTACTGACAAGTCCAGTAGTCCATCAGAGAGGTGACCTGACTCTTCAGTTGACTTATGAGTCACCTCGTTACTGCAGTGTGCCTTACCAGCACGGAATAATAAGCAGCTTCACAGCAAGAAGCCGTACCGATAGTAGCCGACAATAAAAGGATTCTATGTTTTGGACACCTAAAAAGTAAACAAGAAAGAAATGATGTTACTGTCCTCCGCAGCCCACCTGTCCTCTTTTGACAGCTCCGACACCTAAAAGGTAAACAAGAAAGAAATTATGTTACTGCAACAAGCCTTACCGATAAGAGCCCACAAAGAACGAGTCTCCAGCACAAGTCAGCCAGCCTTCAGTAGTTGAGCAGCAGCTGGAAGGTGCCTTGACGTTTGAGTCAACTCAAAAGTCAACTCGTTACTGCAACAAGCCTTACCGATAAGAGCCCACAAAGAACGAGTCGCCAGCACAAGTGAGCCTCCAGTAGTTCAGCAGCACCTGCTCGCTATAGTCACTCGCGTTATAAGCACCGGCAGGGAGCGGGCGGATCTCGAGGGCGTTGATGATGGGGTCGGCCGTCACACGCACGAGGCAGATGGCCATGGTGCGCGCTGGCACCGTTACTATCACCTCCAGCACCAGAATCTGGTCGTTGGATGGCGTGTACTGGCCTCTGTGGGGAAAGGAGGGATGGGGGGGGTGGGGGGGTGGGGGGGTGGGTGGGAGGGGGCGGAAGAGAACAAAGAAATAGAGTAGAGGGCAGAAGAAGGGAAGGTTCAGCAGCAGAAGCAGCAGCTGGTCACGAGCAGGGAGGGAGGCAGGGAGCGGGCGGATCTCAATGGCGTTGATGATGGGGTCGGCCGCCACGCGCACGAGGCAGATGGTCATGGTGGGCGCTGGCACCGTTACTATCACCTCCAGTACAAAAATCTGGTCGTTTGACGGCGTATACTGGCCTCTGTTGGGTGGGGGAGGGGTGGGGGGGTTGGGGGGTAGGGGGGAGGGGGGAAGGGGGAAGGGGGGAAGGGGGGAGGGGGAGAAAGGAAAGAAAATAAAAGAAACGGGGCAGAGGGCAGAAGAGGGGAAGGTTCAGCAGCAGCTGGTCACCGTTACTATCACCTCCAGCACCAGAATCTGGTCGTTGGATGGCGTGTACTGGCCGCTGTGTGTGGGAGAATATAGCAGATTGAAACAGGAGGTTGGGAAATTGATTGATGCGCGGAAGGAAGTTGATTGTTTTGATTGAGTTGCCTCAAAACACATCTGCTCGCTGGATGGCACATGCTGACCTGGCCGTTGTGGGGTGAAAAGAACAGACCAGAACAGGGGGGGGATCGGATTGTTGATGGGGGCATGAGATGATTGATTGACTCTTGAGTCGACTCATTACGACGGGGGGTTGAGGTGTGGCGAACCCGAGTCTATTACTCAACAGTCAGCTAGCAACACCAGAATGACATCAGGTGTGTGGGGTTATGAGATGACTTTTGAGTCGACTCAAAAGTCACCTTGCAGAACCCGGAGTCTATTACTCAACAGTCAGCTAGCAACACCAGAATGACATCAGGCGTGTGGGGTTATGACAAGTCTGGGGCATGATGCAACTTCACAGAAACAAGCGTGGGAGGAGGATGGGGGAGCTGGCTTACAGGGACGCAGTGCCGACCGTGACGTTGAAAACGGGCGGCATGTTCTTGCCATCGTAGTTGCCGTACCAGAAGGTGAGACGCACCAGGTAGCGGCCTGGGGGAGGAGCAAGGGAGGGGGTAGAGGGACAGAGGAACAGAGGAAAGAGCGGTGTGAAGCAGATTTTTGCCATCGTAGTTGCCGTACCAGAAGGTGAGACGCACCAGGTAGCGGCCTGGGGGAGGGGGAGAGGAGGAGGAGAGGAGGGGGAGAAGGGGGGAAAGGGCGTCTGCTCCACCGTGACCAGTTTTGTTCTAGACGTCTCAATAGTGACCAGCCGCACGCGGCACTCTTGAGTCGACTCAAAAGTCTGCTCCACCGTGACCAGTTTTGTTTTAGACGTCTCAATAGTGACCAGCCGCACGCGGCACGCATGTCATCTCGGCCATGTCACTCACATGTGCGCTCACCACGTGATAATAGAGCGGTTTTGAGACATCTAAAAAACTTTCTATTATCACGTCGCATGCCATCTCGGCCACGTCACTCATGTGTGCGCTCACCTGCTCCTGCTTATTCTGTCGTGCTTTAGTAACATGTACTCTGGTTACCACTCCGGTTACCTGCTGCAACAAAATGGATGCTGTAGAAATTGAAGGGTTTCCCATCGTCAAACACCCTCAGCGTCTGCTCCATCGTGACCAGCCCCACCAGTTGGTCCGTCCAGCCCATACACTCACATGTGCTCACTCTCGCCTGTTTGCTTCACCACCTGCAGTCAGCTCACCTGGGGCAACAAGGGGAATCCGGTAGCAGTTGGATGGCTTCCCATCGTCAAACACTCTCAGCGTCTGCTCCACCGTGACCAGCCCCACCAGTTGGTCCGTCACGTGGGTGATCACCGCCACACTGCCAAAGGCCAGCCCAATTACCTGCTGCCACTAGCTGTCATGCCCAATTACCTGCTGCCACTAGCTGTCATGCCCAATTACCTGCTGCCACTAGCTGTCATGCCCAATTACCTGCTGCCACTAGCTGTCATGCCCAATTACCTGCTGCCACTAGCTGTCATGCCAAATTACCTGCTGCCACTAGCTGTCATGCCCAATTACCTGCTGCCACTAGCTGTCATGCCCAATTACCTGCTGCCACTAGCTGTCATGCCCAATTACCTGCTGCCACTAGCTGTCATGCCTAATTACCTGCTGCCACTAGCTCTCATGCCTAATTACCTGGAGCCACGAGAGGGACGTGGTAGCAGTTGGAGGGCTTCCCATCGTCAAACACCCTCAGAGTCTGCTCCACTGTGACCAGCCCCACCAGTTCGTCTGGCACGCGGGTGATCACCGCCACACTGCCGCCCGGCGCTGCCGTGTCTGGTAACCACTTGAGACCGAGATTGCTTGCGCCAGCGGAACCCATGTAGCCGCAGTCTATGCTCACGAAGCCTGGTGAAGAGGGGAGAGGGAGGGGCGGAGGGGGCCAGGTTGTAAGCAAGGTGACAGACAAGATGGGAAAGTGGGGTGGGAGGCGCTGCTGTGTCTGGTAACCACTTGAGACCGAGATTGCTGGCCAGTGGAGCCCATGTAGCCGCAGTCTATGCTCACGAATCCTGGTGGAGGGGAGGGGGCGCGAAGGAGGGAGGGATAAGAGGGAGGGATAAGAGGGAGAGAGGAGGGCCCCAGGGGTAGAGGAAGGTGAGAGTCAAGATGGGTAATTAGGAGATGCTGCTGAGTCTGGTAACCACATAAGGCCATGTAGCCACAAGTAACCGATGTGGTTGCTGGTTACCGGCGATTGACAAGCATATGCAGCTACCATCTTTGCTCACGAAGCCTGGTAAGGGTGGGATGGAGGTAAGCGAATCGGGTGAATGAGAGTGAGAGATGCTGCTGCGTCTGGTAACCAATCAACCATACTTTCAGCGAACCGCGTCTGGGAATCTCAACTAACCAAGCTACACCGTTGCGGCACCCGACCGCTCCTGCTGACCCCTCAGGGTACTTTTAGAATTTTACAAAACAACCGTCGTGTCACGCCATTACTGCTGACATTTCAGGGTGTTCTTGAGAAACCGTCGCGCCACTTTACCCGTTTCTGCTGACCTTTCTGTGACGGCAGCTTTGCGGCCGCCAGCTTCCTGCTCCTCAACGCAGCAGCAACCACGTTCCTTTGCACGTTCCCTGCCACGCTGGCACCCACGTTCCCTGCCACGTTGGCACGCACACTCCCTGCCACGTTAACACCCACGTTCTTTTGAGTCGAATCAAACGCGCTCACGTTTCCTGCCACTCTCGGCCTTTCCAGTGCCCCCACCCACCCCCCTGCGGCCGCTGCTCTCGATGCGATCATCAACTGCCTCTCCGCCCGCCATCTGACCTCCGCTGCTCGTTCTAATCCGGTTCCATCCTCTCCTGCCGCTGCTCTTACTAATCCCCCACCATCCGCTTCTGCTTCTGCTCTTCCCTGCTGTCTGTCTGCTTCTGCTCCTGGTAACCCCACACCCGCTTCTGCTCCTGTCAGCCTTCTGTCTGCTGCGAATTCCACCTCGCTCTCTATTCTGCTGCTGTCTACGCGGATGACGCCGTTGCTGACTAGATTCGCGCTCCTGCCTACGTGGAGGAAGCTGCTGCTTGCGTCAGCTGCATCTGACGAGGCGAGAGAAGACTGGAATGTAAATATAATTAGAAGGAAACGGAGAAGGACGGAAACTGACGTTCTTCTAACGGAGGGTGACCAAAGCCTCGGTAAGGGAACCGACGTCGCCGCATGCGCTACATCTAATCGTGGCAAGAAAGAGTGTCGCCATGGCATGCGACATGTCCACGGCGATTCTATATGCGACGCCGTTCTGCGTCCTGCGTGCGACTGCTGTCGTCGCAAAGACGGAAACGAACGGGACAAGATGGAAGGTCCGGCTTCCATCGCACGCAGATTCCTCGTCGTAGCAGGCTCCTCCCGCCTTCCATGAACATCTGACCCCCCTCCATCAGTATGCTCCCCCTGGCTGTCATAAATACCCTTCCCTCTCGCATCAATATGCTCATTCCTATCGGTATAATTAGTGTGATGATGCTCTAGACGCTGGTTTCCCTGTTCCGCCACCCATTTATCTACAGGCCACCCTAACTCCCCCTGTTGCTGCTTCGGCTTATCTACCGGCCAACCTAACCCTCTCTGCTGCTGTTTCGGATTCTCTACCGGCCTTCCTAACTCCCTCAACTGCTGCTCCATGTTATCTACCGGCAGGCCTAACTTTCCCTGCTGCTTGCACATTCGCCACTCCGAGGAGCGGCTCGTCTGCGCTGTCATCTTCCTATGTAATGACGCAACGGGCTTAAGGTCATGGACGCGGTTCGGGTCTGTTGCGAATAACGAAAAGAATTCGCGCGCTGCGTTGAGGATTTCAACAGACAGGGGCAAGATAGTGCGAATAAATAGCAGCTTCAAAGCTCAGTTGCTCGGCGTTCGACGAGGTCGAAAACACGACTACTAGTAGTTGGACTGATTGAGGATTACTAGGTGATATCAATTAAGCGACTCTCACGAAATGGCAGCTGACAGCGTACTAACATATGGAAACAGAAGACTGAAGCTCAGATGGCGGAGTTTTCGCTGCGTGCATAACCTAGAAACCTATCAGGTCCTTTTCAAATCCACCATGCCATTGATACAGTACCATCGAGGAATCCGAACCGAAACTGTAGGAAGCGAAAACATGGCTTCAGAAACTAAGGTAGCATTTTGCCTCTTTCATGTCTCTCTGCTTGTTCCGTCTGCTTCAGTCAAACCCAGCCATAGCACCAGATTCCGCGAACTGCTGATGGACTTTCCTCTGCCTCGAAATTGCCGTGACGAGGTTACTGGGGTGCGGTGTGCTGAGTCTGGCTTCAAATCAAAATAGACGAATAACAAAGGGTTTCAGAGGTTTCAATACGGTTTGGAGGTCAACAAGCTGGAAGAGGTTGGTTTGGGGTGGGGATGTGACGAATTTGGTTTGGGCGGGTGGGCGGAAGCGCACGCGCTAGCGGGTGAGAGATGTCGCGGAGGAAGGTAACAAGGCGCGGGGAAAGGGGAGGGCAAGCTTGGCGGGGAAAGGGCCCTGCTCTCTGCATTTGGAGATGGTGGAGGGGGAGAGTGGGGTGGGTAGGGAGGAAGGGGGGATGTTGCGCGGGGAGTGACTGAGAGAAGTGTCGGTCCAGGGAAGGGCTTGGCGGAAGTTTTTGTCGTGCGACCGGAGGAAACTCGTCGTTCCTTTGCGGCGGCTCGCTCGGCCGTCAAATTTTGGGAACCGCCAAACGGGAAACTTGAGGGAACCGCGTTAGGCGTCGGTGACTCGGTGGCTGGGGGATTCACGACATCCTCGATATGAGCGACATAGCTCACCCTATCCACAACATCGTCATCGATAACATTTCACAAGAAGCTCAAAGTAAAGTGCTTATGCAGCAAGCCTTTATTGGCACTAACCACCACTCCCCAATTTATTCATGGAACATCTTAATGTGTCACATTAGAGAACGGTGCATTATCTTCACAAGCTTAAAGCCATGTGACCTGAGAAAAGCCGGCCATTTGTGCTGCGCAACCCATCAATGAGCCTGTTCCAATTGGAACCAAGCATGCCTACAAAATAGTCGCACTCAGCTGCTATAAGCAGATCATTGCAACCGTCTTATCATTTGCTGGCTGCTCGCCGCTTCCATCCCCATTTTCAGCTGCTACACCACCAACTGGCGCTGTTGGCTGTGATGGGTGCACTGAATATAAGAAGCTCCAGTCACGCAGTTGCTTAGCCTCCTCTATCGTCGACTGAAAGCAACACAACATAATGCGTAACAGGTTGAAAAATGCACACGAGGATAGTGGGGAGGGCACGACACAGACACAAAGCAAAGCTTAGAACACTGCACGAACCCAGACAAAACAAGCAAAGTGCAAAGTGGGAAAGCATTGCGAGAGACCATTAGATAAGGATCAGGAAACACAAAGCTGACCCCCATAGCTCCAGGCCTGAAGGCCTCTCACCTGTGCGTCTGTGCTCAACCACGCATGGTTGATGGTCGGAACATGCAGCTGCAGCTGATATGCAAAATACATGTACGCTCCCAGCGACCTCAGCTTCACCCGAGACCCCCCTTCCACGAAGCTTCCTCCCTGTTCCCCCCCTCCTTCCAACACAGCGTCTCCATTCGCCACGTGTACGCTCACGATTGGCCGGAAAATAAACACCTCCCCGCCGACGCCTTTAAAGGTTTTGTCTATAGTGGCGGGCTTTTCGTCGTCCGTGTCCCGAACCAAGCACCCTGCAAAGCCTTCCCCGGGCCAGACGCCAGTCTCCAGGTTCGGCGGAGCAAAGTTGATACCCTTTAGGAACTCCGCTTCCTTGGTCATATTGAAATCCGGAATGCCTTTTCCCGATAAGCTGGTGCCCTTTTCAAGGGATTGGATGATGGTGGATTCTTCTGTGCTGATGTCAGATATGTGCACGGCCACTCGCAGGCCATAGCTGACGTGGCGGATGCGGTTGATGACGTGGCAGAGGTGTGTGGATGGCCAGCGGAGGAGGAAGCGTGCTGATTGGGCGTGCCACCACCGATGCCGAGTCAGCGAACAGGATGGAATCAAGGCAGGAGAAAGGAGGACGAAGATGGGGAAAGGGGGGAAGGGGAAGGGAAGGGGAAAGGGGAACGGGAAGAAGAAAGAGAGTGTTCAATATAGGAAGCGTGTGAATGTGGTGAGTTCCATAGTGGTGCGGTGACATGCACTGCTGCAGCGTCTCACACTGCTGGTGTGAGCCTCACCCCATAAGGTGCCTCACCTGCAACGTCCTCTCGTCTGCCTCTTCCTGCACCCCTTGCACCTCCACTGTGGATGCTGGTGCTACTGTGGGCGTTGGTGTGATGAGCTACAGTTGTGCATTGCAGTGACTTACACCCACGCTGGATAGGGCCGCACCCTTGAATCATCGCATCTATCAGAAGCCTCACCTGCATCGTCCTCTCATCCGCCTCTTCCAGCACCCCCTGCACCTCCACTGTAATGAGCATGGTGCAACTTTCTGCACCTCATCATATTAGGCTCACCTGCATCGTCCTCTCATCCGCATCTTTCAGCACCCCCTGCACCTCTACTGTGATGAGCATGGTGCTACTTTCTGCACCTCATCATATCAATCAACTGCCTCACCTGCATCATCCTCTCGTCAGCCTCTTCCAGCACCCCTTGAACTTCCACGGTGGATGGTCGGTCTCTCCACGGCGTGCCCCATCGCCTGAGGGGGAAGGGAGAGTGAAGAACGAAGACGGGGGGAGTGGAAGAGCATAAGACGCAAAGTTCTTCACACGTAACATGCAAGCTACACTCTTCCAGCACCCCCTGCACCTCCACTGTGGATGATCGGTCTCTCCTCCACGACATGCCCCATCGCCTGAAAGGGGGGGAATCGAGAACGAAGTGCATATATACACATATTATGTATATACATTATATATACACGCTTGCCCTCTTTATTATTCTCTTGTGTGGCTGCTGAAAGAGTTGTAGGTACACAACACAAGTAAGGGCCTACTTACTTGGCCCCATCCATGTCCTCAAAGTGCCTTGCATCGGCGAACCTGACGACCACGTCCGGCGAGGCCAGCCGAGCCTCCATGTCAGGTCCGTTGGCAGAAGACGCCTGGTTGGCTGCTACAGCTGCTACAGCCGCATCCACACACTCCTGGGAGGAGACTGGGAAGAAGTAACACTCCCAGGCGCCCATGTGACCTGTGGCTGAAGATAAGGGAATGGGGAGGAAGTGGTGGGTATGGGGTTTCGACAGAGGCACTTCAACCACAGCTGCTACAGCCTCGTCTACACACTCCTGGGAGGAGATTGGAAAGAAGTAGCACTCCCAGGCGCCCATGTGACCTGTGGCTGAAATGACAGGTGGAGGATCAGTAAGAAGAAAGTATGGAGTTGAATTGCGGCACCTCAAACACAGCTGCCATAGCTGCTACGGCTCTAGTGCAGCCTCGACTAAACACTCCTGGGAGGAGATTGGGAGGAAGTAGCACTCCCAGGCGCCCATGCGACCTGTGGCTGAAAATTGGAGCGAGGCAATGGCGAGGAGGAGGGTACGGGGTTGCCAGAGCTTTCGCTACGGATGCTACAGCTGGCAGTCTCGTATTTGAGTGCCTCACATCGATGCTGAGAAACACAGACAGGACTGCCCTCCAGCACCACCAGAGTGTGATCATGCCTCACACGCACACCTTGGCAGACAGAGTTGTTGGCTCTTAAATACGTCCCTGGCGCCACCACCAGCGTGCGGTTATGCCGCACAGCAATGCTCAGAAACGCAGACATGACAGCAATCTGCGTCCCCATCCCAAATGCACCAGAATCCGCCCCTGCTCCTCCTCCTGCTCCTGCTGCTGCTGTCTGGGTTGAACCTGGTGTCGGCCCCTCCACCCATTCTGCCAGCAGGATTCGCCTGCCCTTACACGTGGCAGGGAACTGACTCTCCCAGATGTCCCTCTGTACGACACGTGTCAGCGCGAGATTGGCCAGATCGTCCCCACGGACCTGTGAAAAAGGGGCAAGATGGAGCAAGAGACGAAGGGGGGGAGGAATTGAAGGAAAATGGGGGGAATCGGGAGGGAAATTTAGGAGATTGAGGAGAA